TCTACCAGGTGAGCTACATCCCCCTTTCGATTTTCTACTTAATCGTTGAAATATTAGTTTAAAATCAATAATGGTTTAGATGTATGTGTAGCAAATGTTTTATATCTTTAGACTTGTATCAAATAGCTTGCAACACAATTCGGGGCACTAAAGAAGCTGTCTTATTTTCATCCATTCTTATACATCCAATATATTTATTTTTCTTAAGAAAAATAAATGTACCATCTCTCATATATCTTTTAGACTAGAAACACAGTAAATATACATTGATATTTCAAATCGATTAGAAGGATTTTGAATTAAATTTTTTTAACATATTTAACTCCAAAAAAATATCTAAAATTAGAAAATTTCTAGTAAATAAATTTGCTTTACTAATTATTAAATAACAAAACATAAAGTAGTAAATAAGTGTTGGGTGATGAAGTATTATTTTGCTTCACGATACTCATAACTTCCAGTGATGTATGGAACGTGCTTATCTAGTCTCATAATTTCGAGGTAAGATTATACTCATAGAACTTCAACTAAAAATATGCATAATAGATCTAGAAAGCAAGCCTGATATGGCCTTAAAATCCACAGTAAAATATTATTTATGTTCTTGCTCAACGCGAGCAAAAGTGGAATAATGCAATCTTTTCTCTAAACATATATTCAACGTCCTAATTCAATCTCCAGATCATGTGACCCAGTTTTAAAAACAGCTAACTTTGCGCACAAAGTGTCTGCGTAGCTTGCTCATGGAGTCCGCTGTTGTACATTCTTACCTGAGCTGACCGATCTCAAATTAGGTGATTGCACAAACTGAGAATTTGGTTTCAGACTGTTACACAATTTCTGCTTTCTCGACAAATGATACTTAGCTATGAAGATATTGCAAGATTGGCAATCATATTGCAGCTAGTTTTTATCCTATTGGCCGTGTTTATTGAAAAATGGTGAGCTGCCTGGATTGACCTTCGAAAGCCAATTCGGTGCCAACAGAGGGCACATCTATTCACTCAGCAGACAGTCAGCCTATGGTGAAGTAACAAACCTTTTGCAGTCAAGACCTTCTGTATATGGTTTGATTGTATAAACGATTGCACACTTATGATAGCATAACTTTGAGAATGTAGTCGACTTACCGGCTCTCGTGTGTATATGAGAAGGTCAAGCAAGATCTCAAGTGTGCAAATGCCAGAATACCTCCAAACTTGTAGCTGTTTTTTTATTCTTACTTAGCTAGAGACATTCCATCTTTTGATGTTGATGTGTGAAAGTTGATTACTCTATGAGGGCAATATATGATGAATTCGCCATAACGTCTCCACATGCAAAATCACAGGTACGCTCGATGCTATAGTCACTGAGGTTGCTCTCTTGTGCTTCAAAATGGATGCGCTTCAGCACAGCATGTAGACTTCGTAAGTGCATACTGAAACAATGTGGTTTTCAAATACAACTAGCCTGAAGTTTCAGTAAGCTAAATTGAGTTGTAGAAGGTAGATCAGTCTATCAGTCTCTGCAATATTACGATCTTCAGCGAAGATCGTAATATTGCATGCATGTGTGACAGTGCATGTGGTCGTCTTCAGCGAAGACGACCACATGCACTGTCATATGAAACCTGGTGTTGCATGCTTGATAGTCTCAACGCTTCCAGATAGTACCCGAGATACATAACAAACCAAGCCTAGATTAAACAGAAGCTACCATCTTGGTGCGTACACGGGCAAGGACATCATAGGATCCTCTGAAGTTTCGTTATGTCGAGCAGTTACAACTGCTCAATGACTGAACAATTACTCCTAGAAAGTTAACCTTACTCAAATCTAATAGTCAGATTTCATCATTCAAGTTACACTCAAACATTTGTGAAAGCTGGAAGGACGGGTTACACTCAATATTATAAATTCACATCAATCATCGAAGTACATGTTCGGTGTGGTGCAGGTGGGAGTCTCTTGCTGAATTTTGAATTATATTTATCCAAAGAGGTTTCGGCCCCAGGGTTCCAGATTAGTGTTATTTCGGGCAAGTCAAGACACAAAATCTTCTTCTCAATTTTCGAGTGATTATGAAGCTTGGCTGGGAATGAAGGCAACCGGGGAAATGGCTAGAATCAGGTTTCGTGTTTGTGATTGCACACCTGTTGCAACGAGCAAGGGTTCCGATTTGACAAATTTTTATTTAGTATGCATTCTCATATCAACCAATGCAAGAAGTAAAGATGAGAAATAGAACACTTCCCGACAGTAACCCAACAAACTGAAGACCGAGACATCTCAGATAAGACTTGCGGATACTCTTGTATATCAACACAGTGGAGAACGAGCACAAGTACACAACCTTAGACAACTTAACAATGCTGGAACTGTTAATTAATGAGGTTCCTGATTTCTTGGATTAGATATAGATAATCGATAGACCATTTATTAGTGTGACCATTCCAGTTCAATGCCCTGGGATATGACCAGGTTAAGCAAGTTCCGATCAGTATGAGGAAAGAAATTTCTGAAATTTCTGAAAATATTCAACAAGGCCAATACAAGCTAAACCAAGCTTCTTCATTTGCAGCTCACAACACAGGTTACGAGCACGTGAAGACTTTCATGTCGTGAAGCGTATATAGGCTTTCGGTCCCATTTGCTTACTTACAAAGGCATTTGGATTTACAAATGTTACAGGTCTAATAGGAGCCTAAGTGAAGTCATTTTCACACTTGAATTCAATTATATATCATTTAATTACACGAGCAATGCCTTCCATCTTTGTGTTTTATCTAGCTTCATAGAGGTCAATACTAACTGCTTGAAGCAGTTAGCGATGCTTGGTGAGCTGCATATTGTAATGACATTTCAGTCCGTCTTTATGACGGATGTTTTAGCAACGAAATTATCTAGAAACAATTAGACCTGAATTCGAAGTGAATTAAACGAATTGATTCAGAAGTAGCTCATCAGTTCAGCGATGGAAAGCAATTGAAACATGTGGTTCAAGATACACAGATCTACCTGTAGATATGAAAACACGATGTATGAAATCAGAGAAAAAATCAAGTTTTTCATTAAAATTTTGAAATAACAGATTATTTTTTTCCATATTTTATAGGTTCACTGGCAGCTATTTTTGAGTATTAAATTCTTCTGATTATTTCATCGTTCTCAATTGGTACATTTTCATTTCGCAATGTATGAAGTTCATCAGCATCTAGTATGATAGCTAGCTCTCCAGTCGGCAGCGCCTTTAACATACTTATCTCTCAGACAATGTGTATTATGTGATTCATAATTGTGACTTTTTATAATTGTGATTCAAGCGATGAATTATAATAATATACTTAATGTGGTTAAATGATGGTCATGGAGCGAAAAGCAGTTTCTTATTCAAACATGGCCATGACCATCGGCATTCTTGGGAACACACAAAATGTCAAGGTCGAGATTCAGGAGGATGTACCCATATTTAAAAGATCAAAGACTGAATTCTGTGTTGAATTGCTTGACTCAGTTCCTTGTTGATAAATTGTTTCATTTCTCACATGTACTCTGAACGCTCACGTCAAACAAAGTGGACGATACAGAAAGTAAGGACAGAAAGGCTTATTTGAAGCCCCTTTTCGCTTCCAAACCTAGACAAATTACATGATACACAACTGCCTTGTATATGATGATTAAGTTGTTAGCTCGAGAAAACATGACATCGTTGGATGAATTACTAACGTGGCAATTGTGGTATGTCTGAAATCTGTAGGGCCGTTTCTGTCCAAGAGATTCTTGAAAGAAAAAACCCAAAAAAGAGATTTTTTCGGTGAAAATGCGACATCTTCGGGGTGATTTCCAATCACCCCGAAGATTAATGATTGGAAATCATCAATCAATATTTCCCAGTGATAGCTTTTAGTTTGTAGTATAGGTTGATGCAAATCTGAATTTTACTTCACACTTAGCATATCATCCGGGCAAATTTTTGAAGCTCAAGCTCAAGTCTTTGGACTGTGTGCTGCATGCAAACAGTCGAAGACTTGAGCTTGATACATGCATACACGGTTGTTTGATTGTGTTCATCGAACTGAGATGTGAGCTTCATGCATGGAGCACAAATTTTTTAGTGGATATATATATATATATATATATGGTTGGTGAGTGCAAATTACAAAATCAAACTGATACGTGGACTACTATAAGCTGAATTCAGTGCTGTTCTGAACTGAATTTCATTAGCAGTTGTTTTGTTCTTCGATTTACGAGCGAAGGTTGGAAATCTGAAAATTACCATATGAATATTTGTGATGTACGTGTCATCTAATTGGGAATCAAAAATCAAATATCCAATCGCACACCAGTGTACAAACAAGTAACATAATATAATTATCTTTTAAAACATTATCAATTTGAACTAGGTTCAGTTAACTTTACATATTATTTTAAATAAGCATACAGATTTTTCAATCAATATAAATATCTTTCGAGACAACTCCTCGCCAGGTTTGGAGTTTTGTATATAATCATAATGTTTGTTGAATAACATTCATGCTAATGAAACAAAATAGATCACCATTGTTGAATATTAGTTGAGATTTTCACAAAAACTAAATAAAAAAATTTGACTTTTAATCCTTATTATCAAATTTTAAGGATTTATTTTATCTTTTTTTATATCTTAAATTGAGAAACAACTTAAGTTGATTTCAAGATGAAAATTGTAGACTTGAATAGTGAGTTATCCTATGTATCGTAAATATTAATCGTTTCATAACACATGATCGTTGGAGGTATTAACAATCTAACATACACATTTATTGATTTACAAAAATCTAGCTATATGCATTAAACAAAACATGTAAATAGAAGGCATTGCTTGTGTTTTTATGTAAAGTGAAAGCTTGTTCAAGTCTCAATGTATAAAAAACATAATTTTCGATTTGTATTTTTTTACCTTGGAAATTTGATATATCCAAAAATCTAGCTATATGCATTAAACAAAACATGTAAATAGAAGGCATTTCTTGTGTTGTTATGTAAAGTAAAAGCATGTTTAAGTCTCAATGTATAAAAAACATAATTTTCGATTTGTATTTTTTTACCTTGGAAATTTGATATATCCAAGGTAAAACCACCTCACATCAATGGTGAGCGTTTAGCTTTAGATTTTCTCCTAGATCTTGATTTGATTGTTGCAGAAGACGATCCAGAAGCTGCTTTTAATGCTGTATCTGGTTGTCTTACTTCAGGTTCTGGATCTGGTTGCCTTGTTGCGGATTCTGGTACTGCAAATTGCATCGCGGGGTGCTGTAACACTGCACATATAGACAATGAAAATATCAAAAGTCTATCATTTAAAATTTTGAATAGTTTGCTGCAATTAAGATCAGTTCATCGGATCTATCATTCTAAAATCCTAAATGAGTTGCAATAATCGACCATGTAATTTTGATGTAAAACTAGTGTTTGATGATTTTTCAGTGAAGGATTAGCTTGCTTCCAATTGGAATTACTCTTATTTTCATGTGGCTAACCATAAGATAAAACTCAATCAAAACAAAGTCTTAATTTAGCTAGAGTGGTATATCCACCTCCATTTCTCCTCACTCCAACACTGAAAGATGGATCCAGTATCTAAAAAACAGACATCAGCTAGATGTGTATTTTACATGTGTTTCTCACAATTCAACCAGCAATCTATAAACTAGCAATATATGCTCACTAATTAATAATAACCAAAGGTCCTGACTTTCACATCAAACATAAAAATGTCATGACGGCTGAAGCTCAAGTAAATCCTAATCCTCAAGTAATTGGTCTGACAACTTGCCTTCCTCGGTGATGGACCAACAAAAGGCATCTTGTGATGGAGGATTCTCCATAGCTTTAAGATGCTCTTTCAATTTGCACCTGGATCGAAATACCTCACCACTGGGTGCTGTGAAATACATGTCTTGTTTCCTATTTCCAGCCCGCCATCGCCAACCATCTGGTGCAATCGGTGCACCCTCGCCACTTTGGTTTGCAAGAAGATTTGCAGATTTCGGAGACATGCTCAGAACCACCGGCGGTTGATCAATCAAACTGAAGAAAATGAAGAATGTTGTCAACTCCTCTCATGTTATCAGCAGTTAAATACTCCAGCCAGACATCAGAAGAATTAGTCTACCGCTTGCAGAGAGCCCGCGCAATTTTAGCGTGTTAAGACAGAAAGAGAAGGAAAGAGAGCCGAGCACGTTGACAATCCAATGTAACAATGACAGCAATCACTGTCGCAGTTGATTAACGGAATTAATTACGAGTAAGTTCTGATCGTACACACTTTTGAAGGTTACGTCCTTGTAATAATTTCGTGGATGATACGTTGTACAATTAATCTTTTGGTATCTTTAATCCAGGATAAGCATGTATACATTATACCAACTGAAAGAAAGGTCAATGAAAATGACTGAAGTAGACGGCCTAAGAGAACCCTATTTTACACAACTTTCTTACAATGACTAACATTGTACCTAAAATGACAAGATTTACTAAATATAGAGAATATGTCATAACTATTTTTAGTTTCTTACAGTTAAAGTAATGTTAGTGAGTCTAAAATTTATGATGTTACTCATCATTACACATGTTTATAGTGACTTCAGCCACGTTTTATATAATTATCATTCACGTTTCATCAATTATTCATGTGTTTATCAAACTATAATGTGGATGTGTATGTTGGAGTTACATCATCATGCATCTATCTATTTATAGTAGTATTTGCCATGTCATACTTATTGAATCATACTTATTTTTTGTAAAGTATCATTTGAACATGTTAGTGAAAATTACACACGAATAATCTATATATCTATAATGATGTAATCATGTTATACATACTCAGATGATGATTATTATGTTGTATAAAGAAATAAAATTTATATGTTTTGAAATTTATAAGTGAATTTTTTATAATTAAATCAGAAATTAGTTTGCTTTGATTGTTATAATATTATCATTTCTATTTATAGTCACTTGGTCTTAATTTTTTAAGACAAAATATTGAATTTTTATAATATCTGAAGTTGTTAACGTGTACTTGTTATATTATCTACCATATTTATGGTAAATTTGATCAATTATGATAGAATTCATCTATTGTTCTAAAATGATGAAATACATGAAAATTATTTAGCAGTTATAGATGATCGTCATTCTTTTTTATATAGAATTTGAAATTCAAATTGTTGAAAAATTTCACAACATATTATTTGTGATTGATTTAACTAAATAGTAAGTTTTTGATTGATTAAACTTATTTCTAGATTAAATAAATGCCAAGTTGAGATTTTTGATTATTTAAAAATTTTAAATTTGTAATACAATCTAAATATATGTACACATAACCTTTTAGAAATTCTAGTCATGCAAATATAATATTCTATATTATATGAAAAAAAATTATGTGAACTATATATGTGCATCTAAATGAATCTTTGTGAAAATAACTTATATCATATTTATCATGATAACTTCTAGAATGTTCTATTTAGACAATTAATAATTTTTTTCTAAAAGGTACCCCACAAAGGTTTTTCTCAAAAACCCCTTGTGACTAGGGTAAACAACGTAAACATAGCACCGGTCCCTCTAGTGTTCGTGACCTTCGGTCCAGCAGGTTCGGGAGAGATTCAATTTCGAACAAGACATTAAGATATTTTTGTGCAAATATTTGTTTCATCAATAAATTTTTTGATTTTTGAAACATCTTGAAATGTCCTTGAATTTTTTTTTAATGATGAGTAAAATATATGTGAGAAAGTATGTTAGATAAAGACAATTAAATATAACATCAAATTTTCATATTTTTGATGAAATATTGTAAAAATCATGGGGCGTAAATTTAAATCATATTACTCTAGAAATGATGATATTAATATAAGTAAGATGAATTATGAAGATATGCATGGATTTGAATGTCATGGTAAATATTGATACTTATCTACAGGTGCGAAGCCAGGATTTTTCTGGTGGACGTGGTTATACTCCAGGTATTTTTGTAGCGCAGCAGGCAAAAAAAATAATGTCAATATGTACCTCACAATGTGTCGACCATTCCTGGGCCTAGGGGGCTTCACCCTTAAACTTCGCCCCTCTTATCTATAATAAATACCAAATATTGAATGATGTTTATGATAAATTGCAACTTGTTATTTTTTATTCATAAAAAGTTTTAATTGGATTTCTTTTCATGAATTTTGATATTTCTGTGATAGATTTTATTGAATTTTTCTGTTTTTTCAAAGAGATGTCTTTTGTTTATAAAAATATTAGCTAGTTTTTTCAGTTTCAAAACAGCGTGTTAAATTTTTTTATATATTGATTAATTGTAAATAAGTTTTTTGGGTATTATTGTATTGATATTAATTCCAATTATTTGATCAGAATAATAAAATTTGACACAAATCATTGATCATTGATGGCGTGAAATTTTATGAAAATTTTTCATATTTACATTGGAAAAATAAATTATAGTAGTCAAAGTTTTTGAAAAAATTTAAACAAAAATCTATCTGAAAATTGAAAATTTTCAGAAATGAAAATTTTAATAGTAAATTTTTTCCGTATAGACTTTAGTACAGATTATTTCTTTTCTATTTCAAAGGTTTAAGTGTGTGTATCAATCCCACAAAGATTTCAATTCATTTCTGATGGCACCACTTTGATTACCTCAATATCATGACTTACCAAGAATGGTACATTGTAATTCATGCAATACATCTTATTCAGATCTAAGCATATTTCACTGGTATTATACTCTGTGGTCAAAGTAGTTACCAACAAACTATTTGAATAGTAAAAGCTTCACTTACCATGCTACATCCACTTTCTTCATAATATATAAGATCATTCATATTGTAAATCTGAATGAACCAATATCAAAATCTGTGAATGATTGGTCCACAACAATTTATGTCGTCACCTTGAAAACAGTAGGAATCTAGAAAAAAAATCCCGTTTTTTCTGAATGGTTTTAAAAAACTAGAATGTTATCATCATTATTAGCTAACAAATAAACTTGAGACGTATATGGTGTCACATTGTGAGTCAATTTGATTATGCTTAATCGGATATGTCTTCCCGAAATGCATTGAGGCGCAGCAGTTGAACTTAACAAGTAACATAAATTTCTTCACCGGCTGATTTTTTATCTTTGACAAACAAAGAGTAACCCATTGAATTTTTTTTAACAAGATATATGTATTAAACCATATTAGATTTTAAAATTGTTTTAAAAAAGAAAAGTTATACAATATTTTTGCACCAACTATCCAAAATCCACCAATCCACATGTGATGTGTAAAAAGAGAAAGTTGAGTACTGTAATCTGTAGCTTAATATGAATAACGAGTCATAGCGTACATATGATGAGCTATAATGATAATTGAAGAACCCAACTTTGCTAAATCAAATGCTTGTTGAGCTTGCCATGATTTTGTTAAAACTTCGTAAAGAACTTCATGACCTTCTCCAGTAAATGGAACTTTATGAGCTTCTAAAATTTACAACATCATCTTTTGTAGAAAAAGTTCAAAAATATGTTTATTCTAATTTAGAAGGAGAAATGAATTGGAGTGCAAATTAACGTCACGCTTATAAATGTTGCTATGTATGTAGTAACTATATGTATATGTAGCTTAGTTATATATGTGCTTTGTCTATCGGCTGGTGGCTTAGAGTTAGCCGATGCTTGTTCCTCAGATACCGTCATTGCATCTTCTATGAGAATAGGAGTTTACGACCCTTGAGCCTTCTATCTCCACGCGGCATTGATCCGTCAGGGTTTCGCCCATTGCGCAAAATTCGCCACTGCTGCCTCCCGTAAGAGTCTGGGCCGTGTTAATTTGCAGTTCGCATGTTCCGAAGTTTATCGGCGTCTAGTTTAAAGACAAACTCTAGAGTCGGCAGACCCCAGTAACATTCTCAACTGTAAACTAAGATGTAAATGGCTGAGTTTCATTTATCACAGGGACTCTGCGCGTCAGAATGATGGGACTATTATGTGAAAGTGAGAGCAGTAAGCCTTTATGGAGCGCCTTGTTGCTTCCAAAAGCTAGACAAGAAGACATTTGTATACAGTTGCTGAAGGAGAGATTTGCTTCATGGTACCCGTTACAATGTAAGTTGTTTGATGGGACCCATCAAATTTCAATTTACCCGATGGGACTCCACCGACGGAATATCGTCTGTGATTTCGAATACGTGTTCTAATACGGATATGTTCTTGTAAAAATAAGTTCTTATATATGTTTTTATACGAATATGTTCTAATTGATGTTTTTGCAATGGCTTCCACGACATGCCAGTGGAGTTTTGACGAAATTGGATTTGCTCTCGTGCTTAAAATTTCCCGACCCGACCAAATTTATTGAAGCTTCTGGACATTAAGGGTTGCACTCGCGTTCCAAAAACAATCTGCACAAGCACATTGAATCGGAGAAATCTTTTTTGGATCTGGAAACAATGATGTGAGAGACAGTGCAATGCCAGCGGCAACACACCTTCCAACTCCGGTAATCATGACTTCTTTCCTCAAACCATCAATTTTTTGCTCCAGCAGATCTATAGTATAGCACCGGATGACAAAATGAAAATTTATGCACACATGAATTGTTGCGGAAAATTCATTCTTGAAACAAGGTGCGTTCTAAAAGAGTCGATTTGACGGTCACGTGGTGTGTACCGTTCGGTGGGGTCCCATCGGGTAAATTGAAACTTGACGGGTCCCATCAAGCAATTTACGTTTAGATGAGGTACCATCAAGCAAATATCTTGTTGTTGAAGTTGTTGCTTTCTGAAAAGTTGAAATCGCTGGAAAGATTTAGGGGCTTGGTTGCTGCGTTATGTCTCAAATCTCTTGAGCTTTTACGGTAGTGTACAAGAAACTAGCGAAACGTAAATATATTGTCACTTACTCTATCCCATCTTCCCTCGCTCATGCTCCCTCCTATGTCTTGCATGAAAGAAAAAAAAAACCTCTGACTCCTATAATTACACCCTCCATTGCACCATTAGCATTCGTCTAATTAGTCTTTTACTTCTGTCTGATCTCTTACTCTGCCCTCCCTGCAACAACGTTCATAGTTTTCCTTATGATATTCTTTACTTTCATCAAGTTGAAGACCAAGACCTCCAACTCGACCATTGGGAATGTAGCCTTGGGCTCAGCAACTCTGCCCAATATTACAATATATTTGCATTATTCTATATCAGGAAAAATTTATGGGGAAAACGAGAGTCATAGCTACGTATTGAAAACCTTAGAGAATCTACGAAAGAGAACAGAAAGTAGCTACATTCCTGAAACTTTTCGAAGAGAATAACTGATGTGAAAGCGTTGATTTTGAGAGTAAAACAACAACAAAGTCAACTTGAAAATGCCTAATCCGTTCATGGAAACTCAACAACCGAAAGTTTCCTATAAATATTAATCGGTAATTTGAGTTTTAATTTTTTTAATTGCATTCTCATTGCTGGAGTCGTATGCAGAACTCATCAAGGAATTTCCTACAGGAAGTTGCTATCTCGTAACAGTCGTAGGTTTTCTCCATGGCAAGTTTTCTTATCTTGAAGCATCGATACGGTACAAGAATCTTCAAGTTCATCATCCAACTGTGCAGAATCGATGAACTGACCACGATTCTGTGGACATCCATCCCTGCCGTGATTCTTGGAACGTGATATCAACATCGTTAGATCGCGGGTGTAGGCCCCAACCTCCACCGTGAGCAAGATCAAAACTGTGCAGCCTGGATTTTGAAGATACCATGTTTTAGTGTTTTGACATTTCACGCATCATTTTCATTTCTGCGAAGCCTTTTGTAACTCATAATGGAACTCGAGTTTTGCTTAAAGATTGCTCCTCGGAGTTCCCTTGGAGTTCCCTTAACTACTTTACCAAGGAATTTAAGTAGCCTCCAATCTACATGGATAGTTGTTTTCAGTTCTATGTATCCCACGGAATGCATCTACAGATATTCCTAATACATTGGAGACATACATTAGTATGTCTCCAACATAAGAATGAGATACCCACCAATTATTTGGAATTAATTTTGAGGAATAACACATTCTTGCTTGAATGCAGATCTACTGTGGCTATGACGCTTAACATGTTTAGGTCGTATGTTTTGAAAGAAAAGTCTTTTTGTTAAAGCTAAAAGCCCTTGAGGTAGCAATTCAGTTATCCGGAATTCTAACTTGCGTCTAAAATTGATTATTTAAAATCAATGGAATATACGAAAATGTTGATGTGGACAGTTTTTTCAACAAAAGTTAGTTTTTTGAAGAAAATTGAGAATGACATGCGGTTCTATGGTCTAGCGGTTATGACACTGGACTCTGAATCCAGTAGCCCGAGTTCAATTCTCGGTAGAACCTATTGCTGTGCCACCCTGTGATTGTCATGATGATGATTGTGTCATGGTGAAGGAAATAGTCTAACAGTGAATGTTTATAAAATTAAATTTTTGTCTTCATGACAAAATATCAGGACATTTGGATGATTTGAATCAGATTTGTATAGTCATTCGTTTGAGCTATTTTAATATCTAATTGTGATTCCGAATGGAACATTTTAGGATTAGACTTCGATTACAATGATGATGAATAGAAATCTCACATAAATGATCATGTATATAGTATATTACACATAGTATTTTAATTTTATTTTTTTTATCTGATCGTTCAAAGATTTTACGAAAAAACTCTAGCCTCTGAATATTCTGTTAAACTTACAAACTCTAACCCAATTCTACGTTAAAGTTATTGTTTTGAACTCTTTGAATTTTTTCGATCAAGGGTGTATATAGATTGAATTATAATTAAAGATACATATTGGTAAGATAAAATTTCAAAAAGCCATGGCTGATTTATCATCCCAAAATATGACTGCAGAACTTGAAAAATTGGATACTGATATTTGACTGCGTGGAAAGTTGGTCTTACATCGTCTGGTTGCAACGTCTACAAACTACTAACCTACTTGTTTTTACTTGAAACAAAGTACACACTTACTTCACACTTTGGTACCATCTATATCTACATTAAATATTCCGTTTATACAAAACGATTAGTATTAACTGTATGATTATCATCGTTATGCGTATGTTAACAAAGTAGACTTTGATTGCATTTTTTATAAAAGTGGCTATCACATTATTTTTAAACACGCCAAGGAGAGAGAAACATAAGAAAAAATAATGTGAGACGTTTCTTTCACAACACAACACATTGGATCTGATATGGTTGCTGATTTAAACATTATTTTGTTGTTTACATCTTTAAAACTCTTACTTCACCTTGGAACAATTTTTGTGTACTAAGCGACGGACGGCCGGGGCTTTTTGAAACAAACATGAAAAGTCTAAACGGGAAATGCAAAGGAGTACAACGAATAAAGCACAACTCATTTCGAAGATAGGCACAGCCAAAGGGGACTCCTTCACGAGGAGGTTCCATGTAAAATAGGCCAATTTCCTTGACGGACCATATGTCCTGCTTTCACTCACAGACCGCTGGTTTTCTTGACCTCGGGGTTGGATTCCGATGCCGAACTTTCGCACTTGGGATTTTCGCCGGTCAGGGCGGGATTAAGCGGAAATGGCAAATTAAAGAATCAAATCAAAGAAACCAAAATTCGGCGTATATGCCCTTCTCTCGCATTGATTAGGCAGCATCCCTCGACTTAGCTTCGCGCGACGACAGAGGCTCCTCCCCCGGAGCAAATGTAAGTCTGGAACGGGGAAGGGAAGGAAAGGAAGAGGGAGCGACCGCTAGATAGATAGAGAGAGAGAGGGGGCAGGCTCTGCCAAATGCACGAGGGAATGAGAGGGACCGAACCCTAAACCCTTGGTGGTGGTGGTGGTGGTGCAGTCTGTGGAGGGCTGCCATCTAAAATGGAAGATGTCGCTGCGTGTCGGACTGAGAATCCGCGACGAGGCCCATCACGACAGAAGAAGATAGACCCTTGTTCCGATACGCCTTAACTCTCGAGGCTCGTACATTGGACGATACGGTAGCGCTCTCCTCTCCAGGTAAACGCACTCTCCGGTCGCCCTGCTTGGCTTGGCTTGGCTTTCCTTTGCTTTGCACGCTGGGCTTCTCTCGCACCCGTCTACTGTAACCGTGAGTTCCTCGTCCTGCAATTGCGGACGGTCGTGTGATGCGTTCGGATTTGTCTGCGGATGCCTCGAGCTGATTTGGTTTTGCTGCTTGATTTGAGTGTGAATTGGCTGCGGTGGAGGTGATTCGGTCTCGAATTTTTACTCGTGGGTTTGTAGATTGCAGCGGAGGGAGGGAGGGCGGGCGAGCGGGCAAGTGGGTCGTGCAAAGGAAATCTGGCACACGGAGGTAGGGGATCGAAGTGAGCGTGGGGAAAATGCAGATAATGAAAAAGTGTTGTTGGGTTTCATGAATATTTAGGGTTTTGTAGGAACTCGGGAGAGAGGGGAGTGAGTTGGAACGACGAGGATTTTAATTGTCCGACATAGCCATCGGGTAACCTTCTTATCCTGTATTGCGTTCCTGCTGCTGCCCGCGAACCGCTTCGGTAATGCCGTGGGTCCGTGGGCCGTTCTGTTGATGCGTGGAACGTTGTCTGGCCCTCGGGCATGCTTGAGAATGTAAATGCCCTTCGACCCTGATCCACCAGCACTAGGTTCTAATTTTTTTTTCTGAATACAGACGCATGTTCTCACGCTCGTCTCATTTGTCATTGCACGCAGATGCGGGATTTTTTTGATTCTTAGTTACATCTGTCTGAAGACAGTTTGGACGATTGGAGTAGGACCGCTAGGCCGGCCGCTCTGTAAAAATATAAGCCAGTGCCATTGTCAGTCTTCGAATTTGCCATGGCGGGATTAACCTACACCAGCACGAGTCTCAACACGAGGAGCTCGCTGCTGCACCACTGCGCCGATGTTTTTGCAAGCTCGGACTCGGCGATGCAGTCCCACGCTCAGCCTGGTGTGAGGGTCATGAACATGCATTCGTTGAGAGGGTCTGCCTCTGGACCTAGGAGGCAAAGAGCTTCGTCTCAAAACTCATTGCTGAGTTCATTTCCTTGGCGTAAGGTCGCGTCGTGTGTGGCCGGAGTAGCGTCAGGATTCAGTTCAGTGTCCGCCATATCGATTCTGGGTGGAGGCAATGGTGGAGGTTGGGGTGGAGAGGGTGGCGGTTTTGGGGGCGGTGGTGATGGGAGTGGAGGAAATGGATGGCGGTCTGTCTTCGACAATGGTATGGCATTTGCAGATGGAAGGAACGACGAATCCGAGCAGTTCGATTCGCACGGTCTGCGAGTAGATATGAGGGTGCACATCACAAAGCTGAACCCCAGCAAAAAGTATAAGGTGTCTGGGGTAGAGTTGGTAGATAAGCGGACGAAGCAGGCTGTGAGCTCGAAGGATCCCTTTTATGAGTTGGTGACTCTGCGCCCTGGAGGCATTGCAACGAAGGCACAGCTGGAATCCGAAGTTGAGAATCTGCTGAACTGTGGGATGTTTCAGACCGTGGAAATGGAGGGAGTAACTCAAGCTGATGGCAGTTTGAAGATGCAAATTTCTTTCGTGGAGAGTCAGTGGCAGCCTGCAGACTCTTTCAGGTGTGTGAACGTGGGTTTGCTCTCTCAGAGCCGGATGCCCGACAGCGAGGCGAGTATGACTGACCAGCAGCGTGAGGAGATGGCGAAGATCCAGGAGGAGGAGTATAAGACCAGGTTGCGCCGTGCCAGGCCGTGCATGCTCCCCAAGATTGTGGAGAGAGAAATTTCAGGATGGTTGCGTACTGAAACCAGGGTCACTGCCCGCATGCTGCAAAGGATAAGAGACAGGGTTCAGAGATGGTATCACGAAGAGGGTTACGCATGTGCGCAAGTGGTTAATTTTGGAAATTTGAATACCAATGAAGTTGTATGCGAAGTTGTGGAGGGAGATATCACTAAACTCCAGATTCAGTTTTTGGACAAGATGGGCACTCCTTGCGAGGGCGTCACTAAGATGCAGATCATCGGGCGTGAGCTACCGGACCAGCTGAGACCTGGGCAGGTTTTCAACATAGAGGCTGGTAAGAAGGCTCTGAGGAATGTGAATGGGCTCGCTTTGTTTTCCAACATTGAGGTGAACCCAAGACCAGACGAGGAGAGTGATGGTGGAATCGTAGTTGAGGTGAAGCTGAAGGAACTTGAGCAGAAAACTGCCGAAGTCAGCACTGAGTGGAGTGTGGTACCAGGAAGCTCTGGGCGACCAACACTGGCGTCCATTCGACCGGGTGGAAGTGTGACTTTCGAGCACCGGAACTTGTATGGCTTGAACCGCTCCATTCTCGGTTGTGTGACATCCAGTAATCTCTTCAATCCTCAGGATGACCTAGGATTCAAGGCCGAATACGTACACCCTTACGTTGATGGAGTAGATGACCCTCGTAACCGCACGTTCAAAGCCAGTTGTTTCAATAGTCGAAAATTAAGTGCTGTTTTTACTGGTGGCAACGGACAAGAGGAGGTACCTGCAATCTGGGTCGACAGAGCCGGTTTCAAGGTCAACCTGACTGAGAACTTTACTCGACAAAGCAAATTGACTTATGGGATGGTGGTGGAAGAAGTGACCACAAGAGATGAGACGAGCGCCATCTGTACCAGTGGTGCACGAACTTTACCCAGTGGGGCCCTGTCCATGGAAGGCCCTCCAACTACCCATAGTGATACCGGGATTGACCGAGTTGCCTTTTTGCAAGGTAACCTCACCCACGATAATACTCGGTTTGTAAATGGAACTCCTGTTGGGTCTCGCAATATCTTTCAGTGGGATCAAGGTTTAGGAATCGGCAGCAAGTTTCCTTTCTTCAATCGCCATCAGATTACTTTCACTAGGTTTCTTCAACTCCAACCCGAAGATACGAAGGACCAACTTAAACCACCTCCGGTGTTGGTTCTTCACGGTCGATATGGCGGATGTTTGGGAGATCTTGCCACTTATGATGCATACACTCTGGGCGGCCCTTACTCCGTAAGAGGGTACAACATCGGGGAGCTTGCAGCATGTCGACAATTTTTGGAATTGGCTACGGAGCTGCGTATTCCAATCAACAAGACTCATGCTTACGGCTTTTTGGAGTATGGATCTGACCTTGGAAGCTCCAAGGATGTGAGAGGGAATCCAACCGAGTTTTTCAGACGTGCTGGTGGCGGGGCTTCTTACGGAGTCGGTGTAAAGCTGGGTTCTATCAGGGCCGAGTATGCTCAAGATTGTAATGCCGGTAGTGGTTCCTTGTTTGTAAGATTTGGAGAGAGGTTCTAAGTTATCAACGTTTTTGTAGTTTTCCAAGTAATTTAGAAGGTTGTCTGAAGAGTAAGTAGGATAGATTTCCAAGGGTTTATGGAACGTCTGGGGAGTAGAGTTTCACAGTTTCATTACCTTGCCGAGCAGGAACATTTTTCCCATTGCAGAGTGCGTGATTCTTTGTATGAAAACTAAGAAGCATCAGAGAAGTTAGCTGATCTCTTTCTTGCTGATCCATGCCGATCCATGCTGATCCATGTAGTATTATGTCATTCCATTCCCTCCCAGCCCATTAGTTTCTGCTTGAAATTGTATTAGAATTACACCATTCATCCTCCTACTGAAGGATGCGAGGTTTGTGGGCAGTAGGAAGAAGAACCAAAGAATTTTATCCAAGTGGAGTTTCGTAATCAGTAGTGTTGGGCACCCTAGGTTCCGGTCTGTAGGGCTGTTTGCCATCGGGTGTTCGAGCCTGTTGCAGCTCTCATTTGCAACGTTTCCGGATCTTGGAAGTTGCGTAGGCCCTTTTCATTCAGTTCAGTCGCATATAAAGAAATAAGGTGCTGCTTAACAAGGTAACTTCTGGCAGATGGTATGCAATGCAATGTTGGAGTGGCTACTCTTATTTTTGAAATTGTTCGAAATCTGGATAAGCGCCGAAGGTCTGAGTGTACTGGCCGTTTGAACCGCTCAGTCCTTTGAAGTATATTTTTTTCAACACACTCATCAAGTTCAGTGTTGGTAGTTTGTTTAACAATCTTCTTAGCGATTGTGAAACTTCATACCCAGCTGGCCTTATGAAAAGAGCATTTGAATTTGAAAACATTCTCGTAAGTGCTTGCACGAATGTAATTGGATGGTAAGTGAATAGGCGAAGCAGTGGAGAAATTTTTGTTGTTGGATTTCCAAAGTGGTCAGAGTGCGCAGTCCGGTTCCTGCTCACTTGCTCTCGGTAACGAATCTTGGCATTTGTGTTCTTTAGCACCAGGCTTACGTAAAGTCACATGTTTGGTAACAAGGCAATCTTTGGAGTGGATACTGCGAACAGTGTTGTTTGAACCTTTGAATGGTGAAGTGGGTTTGGTTAAATTTTAATTTTTGCAATTATGCATCTATGCACATGCCACCGCCCTGAATGGCTTGAGAGTTGAAAAACAACCTCGAATCTTTCAACCTATAATATAAGTGTTCGTTGGATTTGTTGGTTACATTTGACATGTCTTACTTTCTATCTTTTTGTCATGAAATATGCATCATAGCCGTGTGTTTGTTTTTTCCAGTGAAGTGCATTGACTTACGTCTTGACTATCTTGGGCTTTTCAACCAAAAGTTAGTATTGACAAACTCGTTCCAAGGCAGGAGTAACTGGAAGCTAAGACGTCTTGAAACTGTAGATCTTAAGTTAGACATGGTTTCATAGAATGTTTGATTGCACACCCACACAGTAATGGTTTGAGAAATTCAAAACTTACTTTGACTAAGTGTCAAAATTTCGATACTAGTTCAATACCGGTTAATAATGTTTACAAATCTACTAATTGTGTGTCCACGTACTGTACTGTATTTAGAAAGTAAGTTGCAATCTCAATAGGACGTTATTCAGGATATAGGTACATAAACTCCGAAATTATCACTCGTCTGATGATTGGTCGAGACGACAGAAGGATGTTGTCAAGTGCTATGCAACATGAATATCTGTGGCTGGTTTAACTCGTTGGCTTCAGGTTCTAAATTGAAGTACTGCTTCGTAATTGTGTATATGAGAGATAAGTTTTCTGCTTCTTGTCTGGAATATCCTTTGTTTACCTTGAAAACTTGGTGTTTGGATGGTAACTGCTCATGTGGTTTTTCGTAAGTAATGAATTGGGATTTGCAGAGCTTGTGCATCAAGTTTTTTAACGTTAATGCTTTGGTGTTTAATAGATGATATCGACTGCGAATCACTTTGCGTTGAAATTAGATCTCCATTTCTTGTTTAGATTGCCATGACTTAAGAAAATATGGAGTGGGAAAATTTCAAATGATGATTATCTCTCAAGTTGAGTTGAAGAGGAGGTTAATGGAGGTTATACAATTGGATCGTTACGTATATTTCTTGAGAATGAGATAGCAACTTTGCTATTTGAAATTCACAATTTTTTTGTTTATCGGTGAGAAACAAGGAATATATTATCGATATAATAAAATGTTGATTCACAATGTTGTTGTGAGATATGATGATATCTATAAGTCTAATAACTATGAGAGGATAGAGGTTTATATCAGTTGATTTAGATAATAAAAATATGATAAAAGATATTTGATTTGTTTGCTCAAATATTCAAGTTTATTCGATTTGTTTTGTTATTTTTAGTGTTTTTTTGTACAAACAAATTTCACATAAAATCATATGACATCTTTCAACATATTGAATGCATGATAAATACATGATGTCATATACAATGATGCAAATCTTTCTATTCTTATTGTTTAATGCTTACAGGTTTGAAAATAATTTCTTACCAATCATAAGATCCACCAATGATTGATTATTGTCATTTTTGACATGATCATCACGAATATTTAGTATTGAAGGGACGATTATTCTCAATTATTAATATTGTATAATGAAAATGACTTCTATTAAAATTTTATTTATGATATAATTTAAGAAATTAAGTTGGAAGGAATTTAGACTTCACATTCTTATAAATAATGTGGATTGTTTTTCAAAAGTAGCCGGAAATTTTGGAAAAGTGAAATCAAGTCACATGGATTGTCAACAGTTCAAACATGATGTCAAATGTCTTCAAAAATAATGTGTCGAATATTGGAACGATGCTAGCCTTGATATGATGGTTGTTGGATGTTGGAATCTTCGATGGAGTGAGGTTATACCTAAGATGTAAAAAAAAGGATGAATTTGAAGTCCTCGTTTATGAATTTGGAATTTCACTGGTGAAAGCGTTGTTGGATTTGATAACTTGGGTGAAGATGGGTTGGAATGATTTGACCCCTTTTATAGTGAGTGTGATATGAAGTATTGTTATTTATTTTTCTTGTGATTTATCATTCCATCTTGCTAACTATGTGTGCACCACGTTTGCTATATGTGTTTGGTGCTCGGTTGTATTTTCACAGTCATCATCATTTAATATTAAAAATACATCTATAGCATGTTGAGATATTTTGGGCTTTGGGAAGATAGCCGAACCCTCAAAGTGATGTTTATTGTAACCACTCCCCAAAATAAGACTTTTAACTGATGACAAAGCTTGAATACTTGTCACTGTTCATATGTTTTGCTGAAAGTGACAATTGCAGCTGTGGAGATTCGCGACACAGGATGTAACTGAATCTAATACGATTTGTATTTTTCAAAGAATTTGGCATCGAAAATGGATTCAGATGTTGCCTTCTAGTCCAGAATCTTTATGTGTATCATTTGCGCAACAATGGTTTGGAGTACTTATTATTTACTGATTATGATATCTAAAGCAAGTACTTACCCATTCGAGAATGTTATTTCTACATGCAACAGGAGGTCACTGCAGTTGCTTTGCAGGCGTAAATATTTGCAACTAGTGTCTTGTGATATAAATGTGTGACAAACCGCAATATAAATGGAGTTAAAAATCACATGAGATAACATGTGTGGAGCAAGGGGTTCGATTCAGCAACAGGTATATGGAGTGAGAATAATCCTAGCTAATGATAACATGACCTTGGTCCGCCATTGCCAAGGGATCAACGCTATAGGGAGATTGGATCTCACGTTGTAAATATTGATCTATACAGTCTAGTGAATGGGAACTTCGATGCTTATCAAGTACGTGGAGGCCATGTCGTATTCAGGTCCTTGAGTTGTATACAGGTCCTTACATGTGATCCCTCCGGATGTACCTGGATACGACTTGCTGTGGGGATGAATTTCTGATTGGGTTCTGGCTCGCACCAAACTTCTCGTCGCCCAGCAAAGGTTTTCATCGTTGACTCATTTGTGTGTTTATCATGGGAGTATATGTCATCGGTTCGGTTTGCGTTTGACCAGACGACTTACGTGCAATTCATGACTCGAGATCAGCATCACTTTATCCATGTCTGGGCCTACTCCAGCGAAGTACAACGCTCGAGAAGATCAGGATTTTTCATTGACGACATAAAAGCTCTTGAAAAGATCTGGCGAACGAGTTGCCAGATCTTTAGGCGTTCGGGTTCTAGTCTCTTCTGTTAGGCATAGTGACATGCACGAATCAGCATGATGCCCTGGATTCGTCGAACATATAATGCCATTGCGAAATGTAAGAGAAGGGTTCGTGAAGAATTCGAATCAGGAAAAAAAATCGCTGAAAGATGAGAAGACTCGTCCTTTAACTGTCCCGTCCCATCCAATCCCCTCGCCGCATTCTCCAATGCATCTTCGGGTTACCCCAAACCGTGCTACGGACAGAGAGCAGATAAGTGCGCACTCAAAGCGTACGTCACGAGTAAACAAATCATAGAATATTAAGCCACGATGAACCCTTTCACGGACAGCAAAGCGATTCGGAATAGAGACGTGGACGCATGCTATTTCTTGACCTTCGGTGGACGACATAAACTGCCTGCCCTCTCCCTCTCCCTCTCTATCACCAAAACAAAAGCTGAGACCTCAATCATTCTGAGCGCCTGCAGCCTATGCGGCTTCGAGGTCCTATGGGACGCTGAAACACGCCAAATTCGAATCGGACTCTCGTGCCCTCTCTCGACGGATGCGCCCGCCAAACGTGCACAAGGACCGGGAAATTGTTTGCTTACTTGAATTTGTATTCATTCGGACCATTGATGACCCTTGCACTCGATGCCGGTTCAGCCAACGATCTGGGACGTATCGAGCTTATCCATTTTGCGAGGATAATGGTATAATTCTCATGATTCTCCATCGCATGGATGGCGCAAACTCGCTCTCCGTCCACCGTCCATGGCTATAAAGTTTAGACAGTCCGTGTAGCTCGGATTTCAGTACTCGTAGTCTGTATAAATAAATGTCCGGTCCAGGAGGGAGTGCAAGACTCGAAACCATGTGCAACATTAAATTTTGTAAGTGACGAGGTCACAACAGGGAACCTCCGCAGCATGTTTCATGCAGCGGATGTCTGTTGTGTTCTGTTCCGCGATCGATTAAAGACACTTGATGAGCTTAAAGGATACTGGCAAATTTTCACGATGTTCCACAATAGAGTTGCAGGTGATTAGTTAGTCCTGGTCCTTTTCCCTCTTGACATGTCTCTATTCCTTCTATGATATATGTTTCGATGTATTTCGAACATGCCCTCTAGTCCTTTATGGCAGTGCAGCAAGAACTCTATCTTGCAGGAGTTTTGGACCGAAAACTCGTCCAATAAAAACACTAAAGACGTAAAGACTACGTATATCAGAATTACGCGATGGATTATGTCATTTTATTGTCATTACTAGGATCATCATGGAATAATGTGTTTCTTAGAGATGCCGATCTAACCATGAGAATTGGGATCCTGTCATTATTCCAGACTTATCAAGGATTCGATCTCATCTTCGTTATGAGTCTGCTCCAAAGATGGGTCTCAAATTTAATTCTTTTGGTGGACTATTAATCCTTGTCCACCACTTATCTTATCCATCCAGCCCTTCGTGTTTTTTATGGAAGACTTGTTCTGGCGAAGGCGTCTAGCTGCTTAGACTAGACTACAGAGCACCAAAAAGTCATCTTAGAAACACATTAGGCGAACGACCTATAACGTGATTATTGCCACGATGGGCATTCCAGCATAGAAGCAAAAGGACATGAACCATCGTCCTATTACAAAGAAACACGAACGAACCCAAGCGTAGGAGGGAAGGAATGAAGGATGGAGTAGCCATGCAAGCGGAAGGCTCGCGAGGAGGAGGAGTCGGACCTCAATGGGCATCTGTGATCACTGGGAGGGGAGGGAGGGATGCACCGGCCGCATCATCTGAAAATACGCATCGTTGCGAATGGTGGCACTCATACAAAGGAATTCCGGCAGTCTGATATTGTCGGGCCTAAGCTCTACCACACTCAACTTTCCGTTTCGAACAGGTTGCCTCATACTCGGACGTGACTTTTACTTCTTGTGGTAACAGTCAAATTATCAAATTGGACTTGTTAGTGAAATGCTACTTATTTATTTGGAAACAAATCAAGTTCTGAAGATAACTGTAGAGTCGATTTTATAATCCATTGCTATGTAAAAGTATAAACTAAGGTTATCCACACATTATCGACTAAAATACTAACAATTTTGGATGGTATGCAGTTTGTTTAGCACTCTTACATCTTATGCGCAGAGCATAACTTCAAATTTCTTGGTGCTCGCATTAGCTTTCTTCTCGTAGGCATGGAGGCATTCGAGGCGAGTACGACGAGGAAGTGTGTCAGCGGAGGCCGTCGTGTAAAGAAAGGCAGAGGAGAAGTGACAAGTGCCACACGAGGTCCCGGCGCATGCAAGAGAGCGATCACATGACCACGCAGTTCGACGAGCACCGAAGTTGCAAGCACCGCATCCAAACCTCGATTCGACTTCGCCCCCTCCGAGAGGGCTATGAGAGCGGCGAGTCGACCGTGGGCATGTGAGCTCTCCTCTGCGCTTGCTCTGCTGCTCGCCGCCGTGCCAATCGCCGGGGGATAATGATGCCATTTTTGCGCCCGAGCTGCTGCTCCGATCATCACACCCAAAGAAGCCCAGAGCACTCTGTCTGTCCGATCTTCTGTCACCTACGGCGGCAGTGGCCGTAGCAGTACCGACCCCTAGGGCGGGACCGATCGCTCCAATAAAGCAGAGCGAGCGCGCGAGGCATAATGCGGTCCGTATCCGCGACGACAGGACGACGAAAGTACGCACGGTCCTTACGATCGCACCACGAAATAATCTAGACAGTCCCAGCTCTGGAGGAGGAGGAGGAGGAGGACAGAGGCCCAGTGGACATCGCACGGGGAGAGGCGAGGCTATAAGATGGCAGACAGAAGTGCGTCCGAGAGTGTTCCTCGGCAGGTTTCTTCTGAGGGCGACGAGGACGAGGCGCGAGAAGAGATGGAGAAGCGCGAGCCCGCGAGCGTGGCGCTGCTGCCGAGGATCGACGAGCGAAGGCAGGCGTCGCTGGGGCGAAGCGAGAGCGAGTCTGCAGCTGGCGACGGCGGCGTGGGGTCGTACGGGTCGGTGATGAAGCGCTGCGTGGTGCCCTTCTTTCTGCTGCTGCTGGTGGTCGGGTTCGTGAGCTACACGGCGGGGCAGAAGCAGAAGCGCGGCCCCGAGGATTGGGGCCCCGGCAGGCCTTTGCGGAAATTGAGCAGGCCCTCGGTGATTTTGATCTCGGCCGACGGGTTTCGCTGGACATACAATTTCAAGCTTCCCACTCCCAACATCGAGCGCCTGCGCACGAATGGCACGGAAGCCGTCACGGGATTGATTCCCGTGTTCCCTTCGCTGACTTTCCCCAATCACTACTCCATAGTCACGGGGCTGTACCCCGCTTGGCATGGCGTGATTGCCAACAGCTTCAGCGATCCCGAGTTCGAGGATCCCATAGGGTTTTATCAGGGCAACATCGACCCCAAGTGGTGGGGAGGCGAGCCCATTTGGGTCACGGCCACGAAGAATGGCTTGCAGGCTGCGACTTACTTCTGGCCGGGGTCCGAGGTTCCCAATGGCCCGTGGACCTGTCCGCCCGACTTCTGTCAGCATTACAACAAGACGGTGCCTTACGAGGATAGGGTTGATACGGTGCTGAGCTACATGGATCTGCCGACGGACAAAATTCCGAGCTTCATCAGTCTGTACTTCGAGTCTCCCGATCACGAAGGCCATCAAACCGGCCCGGACTCGCCGGAGGTTGCGGCCGCCGTGGGCAGAATCGACTCTCTGATCGGGCGTTTGATCGATGGGTTGGAGGCGAGGGGCCTGATGGAGGATGTGACCATCATTTTGGTCGGTGACCATGGAATGGCGGCCAACTGCGACTCCAAGATGATTTACTTGGAGGACATGGAGCTCGGTCACGAGCTGAATTTCGAGTGGGTTGATGCCTACGGAGCTCTGCTGTCAATCCGCCCTCCTCCTGATGTGGACGCCAAGGCGTTGTATGAGAAAATGGCCAAGGCCATGGCTTCCGGCAAAGTCCCGAACAGCGAATTCTTGAACCTTTATTTGAAGGAGGATCTGCCCGAGAGATTGCACTACTCTGCCAACGAGAGAATTCAACCGATTATTGGAATGCCAGCTGAAGGCTACAAAGTCGGCCTCACTAGGTACAGTGTCTGTGGAGCGGAGTGTGGAGGGCAGCATGGGTACGACAACCAGCTTCTGTCCATGAGAACCGTCTTCATAGCCCACGGGCCGCAATTTGCCAGGGGTCGCACGGTTCCCTCCTTCATCAACGTGGAGATTTACAACATTCTGTCATCCATTCTGGAGCTCAAATCCCCCGCTGCCAATAATGGTTCATCGCGTTTCGCATCCTCTGTACTCCTTCCCTCGACCGATTGATGGAGGTGGGCAAATCTGTCATCCCCTTGCATACAGTTTTGAATTACCGCTTTGTACATAGACGGCATACATCTCATACAGGTGAGCGCAGCACACGCTATCACGCGGCTGATATCGATTTCCTCCAGCAGACTTTGGGCCAGGTAGAGCTGGGTCGAAATGTAGGATTTGATTTGGTAGCCGGAAATAAGAAAATTCCCAGACATTTTGTCCATCGTCCGGATTTGGTCGGAGGGAGAAGAACAGAGTAATCATGTATTATGCCTGCCCAGAATAGTGGAGATAGAGAACTACGATTGTTCACAGACACTGGACCCTCTGCCGTGTAACACTTGTGGGCCACTATCTATACGAAGTATTGTGAAGTATCCGCTGAAGACGGATTCGTTCGTTGGTTCGGTCATTTGCATGCTGCATTGGAGGCTACGGTTGTGGAAGCGCTTGTGTTTGCCTTTCTGTTCTGTTTTTGCCTGCACACGAACAAGTCCGAGCGAACGAGCTCAGGTTATTAGTGAAGTGGAAGCCTGGTGGTGCAACACTCTTAGTTTGTGGCGTGCTGTGTACTATGCGTCATTTCCTCGTGAAATTGGGGGAGCATCTTCATCGGGTGTATCTCGACCCGCAACAGGTCCTTCTTAGGTCCATCCACATCGTTAGATATCTCTTTCATCGTGGTAAGTTGATTTGTCGAAGATTGTTCCTCTCTTTGCCAGTGAACTTCATAAGAGGGTGGGTGAAGCATTTGGGGGATGTGGTAATACTTGTCAGTGGCGTCGGTTTACTAAAATGAACTTGCTGTAGTCCGGTAAGGCTCTTCTCCTTTCCATGTACAGCTGTTATTATATTTTCGCCTCTGCTTGTCGGTAAGGCGTTTACTACCTTCGTACTCTGGTTTTTTTTATTGTGAAGGCTAATTGCTAACATCATCGATCGGTGACGGATCCTGTCACGGTCTTTCCTGTCGCCAGAGAGATTCATGTCTCACCGGCTTGAATCACACCGCCACGAGGTTATTCATCTACTTTGCTGACTATGAGGTTCACCCGATGAACTGGGCAAGAATGCGGATGACGTTTTTAGTACCTCGTTTGAACCATCACTTCTAAGCAGATAGTCCGGTCTTTGATGAAGACGTTCTTCGATAACACGAGGCGTAATGTTCTACTTTCTCTGCAGTGATTGTAGAATTTTACCTCATGTAGATGTGAAACCTTTTGGTAGCTTCCACTCCAGATGTTAGCCGATACTACTGTCGAGGAGTAATTGCTCCTTGCCCGACACTGGCAACTTAGCCCAGTGTCAACCCTGCCGAGTGCCCAGAGCTGTGTGTCCGAGTAAGTGCACGAGGACTACGAATTTGGATCTGATGAGGAACGTTCAATGACGTCTGTATTGTTAGAGTCGTCAAGAATTTAAGAACAGAGACATTGGGAGAAAACGTGGTCTTTTGGAAAGTGAATGGAAGATGAATTTTGTACGCTAACGTACATTCAAGGTAAATTGTCCACCATATTGCGTGCGACCGGGGTCATTCCCTCTCGATTCTACTTTCGTCTGCTTCGTGGAATATGTTCTGGCAAGATGTCTCCAGCCTCGAAGTAGGTTCGAGTCGGAAAGAACAGTTGAGTAAAGAATCTTTACAAGAACATGTTTACCTTTTCCATTTTACGCAGCTGCACGTGTGCAAGATAGAGTTGACTGTAAGGTTAATTGTCCGGATATAATTACCAATTTGACTATTACCACATTAAATGTTAAATTGGTTAAAACTACATGATCTACTTGACTCCCTCATGTAAACATTTATGGAGGTTCCTGTCTTTTAGAATGATCACTGTGCACATACTGTGTCGAGATTGCAAACTGTATCATACTACGCTCACAGTTTCTTGCAACTTATAATTTTTGCAGTCATCTTGTCAACTTACCATTTTCTCGTCCAGCTTAAGAAAATTACATCCGGATGTAGACTTATGGTACCAAAATGAACTTTGAATATCTCGACACCTTGAAGACGCAATATCATGAAAATCGCAGACATATATGTAAATGGATATGAATGTGTCAGTTTAGAACATCTGCTAACAAATCCAGTAGAAAACGTCAATTGTTCATCTAATTTAACTACAATGTATAGTAGTAGCGTGAACAGATCAAATGCAAGCTGCTTGTTCTGCTGGCACGAGATTAAGTGTGTTGCACAGTCGAAAGGCTCTTCGTGAGCGTAACAAAAGAATATTTCAATTTGCATTATACAGCAGCCCATAGCGGGACGTAAAAAGCCACCACTTCAACAGCATGTAGATTGTTCACCTGTCTGTGGGGTCCTGACCATTCGACATTGTTAAAGAAACCTAATACTACAAAATTGAGTGAAGTACGCAAAACCATTTAGATAGCTCTCCCTGCTCATCGCCAGTTCCAGTTTGAGAACGGAGAAATGAAGCAACGAAGGGTGGCAGCGTCTGTGGGTGCGGCAGCGGCAGGATGAGCTTCCCTCCTCACCAGAAGAGAACCAGTTTCACCCGGAGACAGTTCACAGTCCGCCAGACCTCAACCTGATCAAAACTGCGGCACTTGTCGTTGGTTTTGCTGGCTGGCTGGCCGATTCTTGCTCACCATAAGACGTACACAAGAGAGCTAGCTAGAGACTGGGTCATGCGAGCTGCGAGGAGCCCACAGCACCATCGTCATGGCTGGGGCTTCGACGTCTGACCGACCGGACTCTCGGGTTCGACGTACACAGTACAGAATGATTAGCGATGCGAAATGCGAGACGGAGCTGCCTGCTGCACGAGATTTGTATGCGAGAGAACCAAGCGAGCAAGATCGAGACCAGCGAGATCCCTCGATCGATCGGGCAATCAATCAATCATGCATCTGCTGCATGGGGCTAGGTGTCAAGCCTGCTTGCTGTACAAGGAGGAGGAGAGGAGGAGGAGGAGGAGGGCGGGTTCAAGTAACGTAGAGAGGGCCGGACGGGCTTTTAGTGGAACCAACAAAGCCCGAGCCGAGGCCAGCGCCATTGCCAGGCTTCTTCAAGGCCATGTATGGCGACTCGTACAATCCCTCGCGCGACGGAGTGGACGAGCCACTGAGAGGGCCCGAACATGGGCGCCCGGCTCGGCTGGCGGGGATGTACGGGATGCCATCGCTGTAGACCGGGCCCGAGATGGCCCTCTTGGTGCGATGGTGCGAGCCTGCGCTGCTGCTGCTGCCCGTGGTGCTGTTGTTGCCGCCGGTGGGCGTCACGGTGGCTCGCATCTTCGACTTGAACGCGTGATGCAACGGCGTCGCGCAGCTGCTCAGCACGCCGCTGCCCAGCTCGAATTCCACCACGCCGCTGCTGCCAACCTTCTTGCCCTTCTTCCAGAACATGAGCTTCTTCCATGACCTGCTGCCGCCGCTCCGGAATCTGTCGTGCACTGCTGCTCCTAATCCTCCTGCTGCGCGCGAGTCCTTGTGCTGCGGAAACATGGCCTCCAGATCTTCCAGGAAAGGGTTGTGGTGCCTGGCGCTGTGCGACCTCGACACCCACGGCGCCTTGGAGCTGCCGCCGCTGCTGCTGCTGTGGGCCACCGCCGCGGGGTTCGCCGGGATGGACATCGTTGTCGCCGCATGCGTCCGCGCCTCCGCCAGCACCTGTGCGCCATCGCCATTGCATTTGCGTGCGGTGCATCGAAAGTGAGCGACGGATGGATCGAGCGAAGAACAGCAAAGAACAGAACAGAAAAGAATTGAAAAGAATTGGTCGCCCCGACAGGCCATCATCAGGTGGGCCTCGACCGTCTTCGTGGCCAAGCCGTGCACCACCGCACCGAGCGAGAAAGGGACAGGAAAGCAGGACGCAATTCACAATCACAATCATCGTCATCATCGTCGCTACACTTGGCTCAGGGCACGAAACCCGCTCGTGCACGCGAGAGACAACCACGCCCAGACAAACAATTCACTGCCATGCACTCGAGCTCTCGAGCCAGACCTGAGCGTAGTCGTGCTCCGGGTCGAACACCAAAGCGTCAAAGTACGTGTTGTTGTCGAACTCGCTGACGAGTGGCGACGGAGGCTCCACGGGTTTGCTGAAGTCATGCACCGTGATGACAGTATTTGGCCTGAACATTGATCGACATCCCACCGTCATGAAACGTGCCCAGCAAATCTAGCAGTAAGAATTCTATCTACCCCACTGCGTCGCTTTCTGTCGGAAGCTGGACCTTTTGCCAGTAGCAGCAAGCGTAAGCTCGCCGCCTCCCTCGCGCATACATCGAGAACTCTGAATAAGGATTGCGAGGTTCACCGAGACTGCTTTTTGGAGGTAGCTGGGATCGACACTCACTTGTGGCTTGCGTGCGGGTAAAGGTCTTTAAAAGGAACAGGCTTCTCACGCGAGTGCTTCGTTTTCCGCGAGACTGTTATCAGCACCAATCATAGCAGAGGAGTGCGGTTAGATGGTTCATAACCCCGGCACTGAAGTGAAAGTATATGCTCGGAATTTGCAGAGCAATGAATGCGAATAGATTGCAACAATTCACGGCACGAGGCAGTGGAAATTCTCGATGAAATGCAATCAGAATTGGCTGGGTGGGTAGCTTGCTTACTGTATCCCCATAAGAAGGAGCCAAAGAGCAGCGTCGTTGTTAGTGCCATAGCTCCGATGATTAGAGGGAAAGTTCGAACAGCAATGTGGCGCCAATTCCGACTGATTGATGAAGGCAGCCCCGTCACGGCAGACAATCTTTGCAACACCATGTTGATTTGTTGTCTGTTCGACAAAGGGTTGCCGATTCCCTTCATAATCCTGACAGCACACCAGACATGCAATGTTATCCGTCTGCCAAAAATTCCACCATTCTTCAAACTCTTGCCATTGACTGAGCCATTCCGCCAAATCCTATTCCGCATCATCCACTGCGTGCGCGACATTTTCTACTTGCCTCACTAATGGCAAATTGATCGGGCAATTGAGTGAGTATGCCGGCATCGTGACTACGTGACCATGAAGGCAATCCAAACCTGCTCACCTATTCAACATGGCTGCTGCTTCTGAAAGGTGATGTCAGGGCACAGATTCGAATTACGGTGCCGGGGGTGAAAGATTTTGGCGGGCCCGCGATAGCGCTCCTGCGATTGCCAAGGCAGAACAAAAAAATCGACACATCAGTATCGATTGCGATGCTGCTACTATAAGACTGCATCAGCTCCGAACACTCAGTTGCTGCGAAACTTCCACCGATTTGCCGAGACAAGACCAAAATTTCGAAGGCAGAAGATTCATTCAGGAGACTGATGCTACGCACGAGCGTGTCTGCCCAGCCAGTCGAAGGAGGCATTCAAGAAGAGCCATCAACCGCAAAAAACCATATCAGCGTGACAAAACACTGGCTGCTGTTCCAGCGTAAAAACCGGAAGGAAACAAGTACCACGGCACTCTGATAAGGGGAGGCATCTCGTAATAGCTGGGCGGGGATTTTGCTCACTCACTGATCAGCATCGGCGTGAGATCACTAATCACTCCACATCCAGCATCGGCGTGTCCTGAGACCAGCTCCGATTCTGGATCCTCATTCCATTTCGTACTTCCTGATTTGTTGATACCAGCCCGACCAACAGCTATGATCAGAGACTTTCCATAGACGGGAGAAACTGTCCACACTCGCTGCGCATGTGCGAGCTGGTTTCTCAGATGATGGCTCGAGACCGAGTCTATCTGCAGCGACCACGAAAAGCGGTGCGACTATCTCTCTCGCGCTCTCTGCCATCGCAATCTGTGGGGAAGTTGATCAAGTTCGTGGATGAGAGAGGGCCCAACAATAACTGATCCCCATCGCATTAAACGCAAAGGACGTTCAGGTGCCAGGTACAGCAGAAGAGGATTGCGCTTTCCCGGTAGCATAGACACGGGCACATCCCGCTGAACAAGCTGGCGTTGTCTTCAGCGAGTAATGGCTGCGCGACCCAAATCTAGAAAGTCTAAAAAAGCAGGCGGTGTCGGCAGTAACGGGAAAGTCAGACATCGCGACAAGAAGCATCCGAAAAGAGCGATGACTCCGCGCCTTTCCCTATCCATCAGCTAGCTGCCAGCGTCGTACTCTCGCTCCCGCTCGTCAAATGTGAACTCTCTCACTCGAATCGCGTTCACAGACTTCTCTCTCTCTCTCTCTCTCTCTCTCTCTCTCTCTCTCTCTCTCTCTCTCTCTCTCTCTCTCTCTCTCTCTCTTCTCTCCCCACAGAGGCGAAACTCAAGGCAGCGAGAAAATGACGTGATAATTTGGCAGTGCTTAGTACAGCGCGTACAACTCGCGCAATAATCGGGTGACAGTGAATCACATGATCTTGGAAAAGCACAAATCGAGGATGACGATAAGATTTATACCCTCGACTTGGTTGGGACTGCTGGCTCGAAAGAGCATGTGCGTTGTCGACGCACAGACTACTTTTTAATGGACATCGGGATTGCAGAAAGTAGATGGTGTCAAAGCCTGTCCAGACGACTAGGGAAAGGTATAACAGAGGCGAGGTTGTTCGAGAACCGATTTGAGCCGCTGCCCAGTTCGAACCCCGAAGCTTGTACGCGGATTCCACATTTCGATGATGCTACGCACAATGTGCACAAAATGCGCGTCCAATTCATGAGCTCGGGAGAAGTGGGTCCAGCTTCTGGGCTCCCCTGAAGTGCTGTAAGAAAACAATCTGCCCTCTCCCTCGTCTTGGACGTGCGAGTGACACATTGTCGAAAGCTTGAGTCGCTCAAATGAGCACTCCTCAAGTCTCCAGGCAGACTTACGCTCTAGATAATCGGAAGAACATTGCACTCCTGACGTGCTATGAGGACGCTCAGCACGCACGCACGCTCTCAAAAGTCCTACCCAGAGAATTGTTGACCTTTCTCGGGTGGGTTCACTGGATGGCGCCAAGTTCCAGTGAAAATTGTTCGGAAATATGCGAGCAACCTTTCCCGCCATTGCAAGACCACAGCATTTCTCCACTGGTCCGCAAGATGTCATGTTTGGACGGCCGAGAAACCGCAACGAAAAAACTGGAAGAGGGACGGGCAACTTGGAGCCAATGCAGGTATTGCGAGAAAACGAAGGAAAATTTTTCACCTCACACTCTCTCTGCGCTAGAGACGCAAGCCATGAAAAATCGCTGTTCAATTTCCACATTCTCGACGCTGCGGGTTCAGTGGAGCAGGTCACTGGTCATCAGAGCACTGTGAATTTAGAACCGGTTTCATGGGATAGTTTCTCGTGGAACTGGCCTGAGCGCAGTGCGAGAATGCGGATTTCGAAACAAAGAAAAAATTAAAAATTAAAAAAAAAAAAGCAGCTCTAAACGAATGATTCTTGGGCCCGGCGTGAAGTCAACTGGTTGATTCTGCAGGCCCGAACCAATCCACGCGCCGAGATGCGTCACATGCAAAATAGTACAGCGCAATTCCGTAGCATGAGACTGCGAGAGAAGGAGCGCAGACGGATGCAAGCAAGTCTGGCCCAGCGAAGAAGAAGAAGAGTACCTGCCCGCGTGTTGTAAGGAAGAAAGGCAGCTGAGCAGTCGTTCGCCCGCTCGTTCGCCAGCTCGCTGGCTCGCTCGCTCCTCGGCTGTCGGGGAGGAGCCTGCCCTGCAGTCAGGAGGAGTGCTCGCGCCTCTCTGCAATGCAATGGGCGCAATATGCTCCGCCTCCCGAACGCTGCGGTACAGCTGCAGAACTTTTGAGCCTGCGTCAGAGCGACAAGGCCCGCAGCGCCAGCGGGAGCCTCAGCCTCCTCAGCCTCGTCGTTTTCGCCTTCCAAGAAATACGTCGCGAGCTATGCCGGTCTCGGGGAGAGATGGAAGCAAGGAAGGCAGGCAGGCAGGCCGACAGGCAGAGGCAGGAGCCGGGATGGTCACACAATTCGTGCGTCGAGGCAGAAGAGCAATTGCGCATGCTGGAACACCTGGTCTCGAATTCTGCAGGCAGATTGTGCCGTAATTGAGCCTGCCTCGATTTCTGCCCGTATCATCGGTGCGCGATTTCTCGGTGCAGTGAGCGTCAGGCCAGCCGATGCGCATTTGCACTCGCCCCTCGCCCTCGCCCTCGAGCGCCTCTCCCCGTCATCGCTCGCTCGAGCGAGAGAGCCAGCGAGCGGGAGGGGACGACTCGAAACTTTTCTTCCCCCTCTGCCCACCCGCTGCTGCCCGGCCGGACGGGTCCATCCCGCTGGTTGTTACCGGTCGGCTACGGTAACCACCATCGTAACCCACCTTGGCCACGTCACGCCCAGCCCCACTGTCCCCACACCGGCCGATCATTGTCCAGTCGCCTTCACTCGAACCCCCGGACTCCCGGTCCAGCGCTCGACCCCTTTCCGCTGTCTGCTGGTACAATGGAATCTCCTCAATCGTTTCCCTCCGAGGTTACCTGAATCCAGCCTCGGTCTGAACTCTTACCTCTGTCAGGAGTTAAATTATTCTTCCTTGAAGTGCCTCCCCTATACATACACACAGTGTATACGGTCTGTCCTCTCGCCGTGGAATTAATCCCCGATTTCACATCCTCGGACAGTTGAACGAGATCCTTGTCTTACCGGGAGCATACAAGACAATCCCTCAGGCTGCCCTCAGAACCTGTTCCAGTAAAGTCATGCGCTAGTGAAAAGTCATTCTATTCGGAGGATGTGTAGTCGTCGTTGGGGTGGAATTATTGGAATTCTAGAGAATGATAAAATAGGTTCTTCAACCGCAAAGGTCACATATAAATAAATGTCATATATATTTATATTTATACCAGGCTAGCCTGGGAGGACTATTTCAACGTCACTTAGACGAACAGGTGTAGAACTCTAGTTACCACCAATATTCATACGCCTTGCTTTTACAATAATATACACGACCTGTACTCATTTATTCTCCAAGGACATTCTCTCTTAGCTGCCTACTTTGAACTAGGTACTCTCGCTGCGTCCATGTGAATGTCCACTGTAGTTGAGTTCTGCTGCCTCCAAATTGAAAAAATAAAATGAAAATAGAAGCAATAACCGGAAGTCAATGACCGTGTACTGTGTTGTACCGGAGCGTCCCATCACGTAGCACGGTAGCGACTGTGTTGGCAGTTGGTCGACGCCGATGCTGCATCACCGAGTCGACCTGGTTGTGGCCTGCCGTCGTACAGAACCGTCGGGCTCTGGTCCCACCACCCAATGCCCACTGTCGTCACAGACTACTGTATTTGTTTGCATTGTGGTGTATGTATTTCTGTATAGTAAGAGTCTTTTTCAATGGCGGTTCCATAAATCGCCTCGAGAAAACACGAAAGGTAGATTGATTACACATCAAGAAACTTTCATCGAGTTTGAGTTATTTTTATGACATTGAAACTCGAGCTCGTGAATGATGTTCAGATAGAATCTTGAAAAACACCGACAGGTGTATTTGGCAGCTACATCCTTTCTGCGACTATTTATTCAGATGTTACTGAGGTAATCTTTCCTTTTCTAACAAAAGAGTGAAATTATCTTGTTACATTGAAACAATTACATAAAATAGAGAATATCTTTCCTATCAATTTTGATCCAGACATTAATACTGGAACATTGTATATTAACGTGCTTCAAAGACCTAGTAATAAAATATTTGATATTATAATATCAAAATCATTTCAAACCTCCACCAATGTAAATGTAAGGATTTTGGTGGAGTTTTTTTCATTAAAAAAATATAGTATATAAAGGAGGAAAAAGAACTTTATTATACCACAATCATTTTTTCAATAGCTCGGCAGAAGATGGCTTTAAACTTGTGCAACAACCATCTGTATTTACAATAAATTGCACATGCTAAATAGGACTTCAATCATCATTCAGGTTGAACTTGCGAACTCATAAAACATCCAGATTCAATTATTTCATTTTTTAATGCCATAATTAAATTTTCAAGTTAATTATATTGATAGAGAAATAAAATTAATGAAGAGTTTGAGAAATACATGGCTATAATGAACGACTTGACAGGTTCGAAAATCCTTGGGAAAATTCAATATGTAGCTAAAATCCCAAGATACCCCCATTACCTTGTTTGTGGAAGAACCAAAAGATACAGGATGAGGTTACACCTCAAGAGGTAAATGTACTGACGTCTTGTCGCTCATAACCGTCAACTGGACCTACGCATCCACCTACTCTCAACTTCCGCAAATTCCAATCTCATGGCACGACGTCTGAAGCTTCTTCTTGAGTGACCGCTTCTCATTGAAAAGGCAAAGGAATTTAGAACTGGAAACCGTCGATGGCTCACTCATTGGGATAAACACCGGAATGATTCTGATGAATTATTAAGACCTTCTTCGCTCCCTGTGTAGAATGTAAGAATGCGTTAGAGCGCAACAAATACCAGAGCCAATGTTGGCTGCAGACGAACATGATTCGAAAGCGCAGACAAGAGTTGGCCAACTGTACTCCTCCCAGTCTGCTACGACAGTGCGAGTGCCGGAGAGAATGATGATTTCCTCGTTTCCTAAACATCGATCCAATACAGGCAAAAAGGGGGACACAGTGATATAACAAAGACGATGGGAAGGCCCCATTAAGTCAAGTAGTACGATGATGCATACGGGGCAAGGCAGGGCAGGGCAGGGCAGTACATAACAGTGTAAAAGCTGGATTTCTCTACCACGTAGCGTCCATGGCTTCTGATCCTCCGCTGGGAGCAGTTCTGACCATCTAGGTCTTCAGGCGATGGAGTTTCCGACACCCAGCTTTCTATTCTCAGCTCAGGGAAACCCTCTGTGAATCTCAGCAGTATAAAAATTTCTGTCCACCTCAGGGGCATATCAGCCGTACCACGAGGCTGTCCGTGGAGATCTAAAAGATGTGATTCTCGCTAACGTGAACACAATAAGGAGATTAGTGTTACCATTGTTGCTGAAAATTCAACGGTTATGGATATTCTACATTACGTAGGCTTAAAATGAGATTGTATTTTCTACTGTGATGATACTGAGAATTATTTCATTTTAAAATCTGAGTTCAATCCTTGTACTGTTTCCATCCTTTTTGCTATAGTAACTGGTTCCTATTTCAGACATTATCACGAGGAATCTGTGGATGATTTGTCATACACGAAGATAAACGTTAAAAAATTTTCTATGGTAGTGTATGATCGGAAATTTAAAGTCAATTGTGAGCAAAACGGAAGGAAAATATTCGCCAGATTTGAAAACTTTTTATATCGATATTAAAACGCATAGAGATGGTAAAGCAAGTGAATCATATATGTGATTGGAAATTCCCCATTCTAGGAATCGGAGAAAAAGTAAAAGGAAAGCGAGCGAAAGGACGGCAATTATGGATTCTTCGCATTGCTCGCTATACGATTCTCGTGATTTTCCCGAGGGCTGACTATCAACGATCGATTGATCCACGGCCCACTTCCAACTCTTCCATTATGATCATTAGTATTATTTTTCGCCGGTCGACGAGACAGATCGCTTCGTGCAATCTTGCACCTTCTCTTTCTCGAATAGGTCCTTTTCTCGCTTTTGGGATCTTATCCCATTATTTCAAAATATATTATGGTTGGACCAGGCTTGATGAACGCTGGAAAAAGCATTGCGCTCGACCATGAGACGTCGTAGATTTCGTTCGGAAGATGTAACCTCATTGTTCCGAAAAACGAGCAAAATTTGTCCGACAATCTGCACCGTTTGAGCTCGGCTCACAGCAATGGAGAGCAATATCCAAGTCATTTATTCGGAAGTGGGACCAGATTAGTGCTCAGGAAGGGTAACATGGCCAACAGCATCGGCTACACCCAACGACTTCAACTCAACATTAACTTCTGTACTGTACGATTCTCGTGTACACGGACAGTAGAAGAAAAATAATTTTCTCTTTAAACCTTCGCGCTCCTCAGCCACCTCGGACACGCCTACCTACTGTTGCCGGTCGAAAATAAGCTCCTGCCAGGATCACTCCCCGGTCCCACCGGAATTCTACGTTCCCCGAGAACGTCGAGGGCAGCATAGAAAACTTTCCCGTCTGACGACCGTCTTTAAGTCGGAGAACAAAGGCACGAATGTAACAAGCGGGAACTTGAACCATCATCAAGAATACGAACTTGGCCAGAGGCAAGTTCAGTCCGTCGAGTACGTGAAAGCCTCAATCAGCCTTAATGACCAAGGCAGGCAAAGTTAAGCAACCCCGAGCCACCGGACTGCGTACGATCAGCTTTTCGTCGCCGTAGGGTCCAGTGCTGAGTACTGAGGCCAGGCATCGAGGCGGTGCCACCTGTCAAAGGGGATGCGAGTCTGGGATCCAGGATCCATCGGCGCCGTGGAAGTGAGCTGGCATCCGCGTAGACGACTTACTTCGCGAAGAACCGTCCTTCAAACTGAGGGATGGTGAAATTAAGAGGCAAGCCTAAATTAAGATCTGCGTCCATTAGTTGCTGCTGTGGTTGAGTTAAGTCGAGGTTTTCGTTAATTAAAGCCCCGGGGGTGTGCGTTGGACTTGAGCTCAGAAAGCTCACTAAGTACCGGGTCAATGCTGAAAGCGTGACCGGCACAGCATGCAAACTATTAATTGCTGGAAATTCGACAATGCGCTCGCTCGGGTCGACAGATGTGTGTCCCGACAGATGCCATGCTTCAATGTGGCACAAGCGTAGACTCAAGGTGTGTGGACGTAGGCCACACGAAGAGGTCCATTTCCATATCTGTTCCGGCGATTCGCCGGTTCTTAGGTCCGCCAAACTAGTCGAACGAGAATCGGCGAGCATCTGATGATTAGATCGGCGGCTGCTGCTGATGGATGAAGTGAAAATAACTCTGGAATAAAAACATTACTCTTGGGTCTCGGCTCGAGCATCTGGGTTCATCTGGGTTCAAATTACTACGATTACACACAGATTGAAAGGATGTATTTATTCTAGCCAAGCTGCTGAAGGGAGTCACAATCTCTGGTAGGAAGGATTTTTTCCTGTTCTTAAAGTCGTAAGTGAGAATACGTAAATGACATACAAAGTTTCTTAATGCTTATAAATTTTTTTTGAGAATATATATATATATACATATATTTTGTTGTATTCGTCTTCAATATCATTCAAATTCATATCAAATATTTCTTAAAAAATAATTCCGTGAGAAATCTAAAGGATATATTTGAAAGAAAAATAATGATTTTATTCAAATAGTTAAAAGATAAATCAAATAAAAATTTAGTTTACCTTTCTGTAATTGTGGCTTGGATATTCATAAAACTAGGTAAAACACAGCTGTGACTCAATTTATGATAATGCGGCTAGTGCCAACAAACGCATATTTATTCTATGAACTGACCACCGAATTCATGACTGCTTATTGACACATATTTCTTTCTTGACTCTAGAATCAGATTCTAAAACCAGCAACTTACAAAATCAAGAAAAACAGATTTTTTACGAGAATGATAAGAAGTAGCGAAAAAAATTAGCAAATTTGCGAATATGCCAGATGATGTAGATGGCAACATCTGCGCATTTTAGATTACACGGCAGTTTTGAGGAGATCCTACTACAAACAGTCAAGATCACTTAACGCAGTCGCAGTCACAGTCACAGTCGAACGGGTGGAGCAACGACCATCGACGCAGTTGCCCACCTCGGTCAGAGCGGAAGCGAATGCGCATAGATCTGATCTGTCACCTTAATGCGGACAGTCTGTGGGGCACCGGACGTCGAAGTGGAGCATCGTCTCGATCGATGGTGCGATGGAGGGGACGAGGCGTTCGTTCTCGTCACGAGTGTGGTCCTGATTCCCAAACGAACGAACGAGCGCAACGAGTGTTGTGCTACCCCTCCCCCGGGTATTACGTCTACGAAGCGAGTGCAAGTAACGCACGCCGTCCATCATTGCTGTCGGAATCTCTGAACCGCTCGACAGACCGGATCTGAATAATAATCTAATGTGAGTCAGTGGAGGCCCCTCCCTGGTGTCTCCGATCTGGAATATTCGCTCATTTCAGCTGATTCTGAGATGCTCTCGGAGCGACCGCGGCTCGCAAAGCCTCTGTCTGGAGAGGCCTGATCACGTACTCCGGATTTGACCGGCCCAATTACTGCCCCATTGACCAGGCCTTTGCCTTGGCACAATCATTGAGATATTTACGCTGCAGTACAGGGTTTGCACTTTGAAACCCATCGCACCGCGCGCACATTCATACAGTAATCATCATCAACTTCAGACTCCTTCAGAATGTTTAAGCCTCCTCTGTCTCTTGTTTGCATGGATGGTTTCGTTAATCATTCAGATATATGCCATCGAAATCAGCAGCGCATTTCAGAGATTTCCCCGTAACTACAATTCTGCAGCAGACTTTTGCTGAATTTCGGTGCTTTCCGGAATTGTGCCAGAAGGTGCATAGAACTCTGAACCCTGCCAAACATTTATAATTTATAAATAAAGATAGTGTACAATCCTAGGCTATTGGACATCGAGTCGTTGTAGTATAGTGGTAAGTATTCCCGCCTGTCACGCGGGTGACCCGGGTTCGATCCCCGGCAGCGGCGCTCCGTGGTCAGAAATTCTGACTTCTTTTGTTTACGTTGTTCTGATTTACGTTGTCAGCAGTGTTGTAGTGAAATCTAGCCTTTAGATCTCCTGCTCCGACGGCGTGAATTGGTCGGACTTGGTTTGGTTTCTTTTGTAACCGTGATTCAGGTTTACATGGTTAATGGAGTTGTGGTGAAGGCGAGGCTTTGGATCTGCCACCACGTACAGTCCTCCCTCGGGCAGCCTCGTCCAGGCACCGCCGTGGTGAAGGTAGCTCACACGCAACGTGTGAGGAAATCCCCATCACTGGACAACTGCACTGCTCTCGTTTCTTTCGATTCTATCGACGAAAGTGGCAAACAGGGCCCGCCAAGGAGGAACTCTGTTCCAGCAGAGATTCGTTACCTCGAGGAAATTGTTACTGCGTGTCGGATTACTACTCAAAAGCCGGACCTGCGTACTAAGCGAGGCCGTCGTCGGTTGATCCGGTGAGTTCAGCTGTAGGCTTTGTAAATCGATTGGGTCTCGTGTTGGAAAAAATTTGGAGTATATATCTCGAACCGTATGTCGGAATGAGAAAAGCCTATTGCCATGGCTATGAGATGAATTTCCACCGAGTCCTTGTGTCAGAGATCTAACTCTTCTAACTGATCAAAGAGGTACTTCGTACATTGTGACATCTCGTACCCAACACCGTTACAATAAGTCAATGTACTGAAAAGCTGGATTCGACTGACAATTACACAGAATGGAAATCCTTTCGTATGAAGGGACTCAAACCGCAGACTCTTCTGGTGCAAGCGAGGTATCAGACGTACCTCGTCGAATTCGAGATCACCGTACTGCTATCAGCCCGATTTTTCAACAGACGACGTGTTTTGCAGAGTTTTATTTCCCGGAAGGAACCAAGTTCCTTGGCAGGGACGATTGTCAGGTCAACATTTACGGCGAAAGGGAAGTGGCCCAAACTGTCAGCTGGAAAATTCTCGATCGTCAGTCATCTCAATCATGATCGACATTGATTCGAAAGAATATGGAGCGAAAGGCCACATTTCACTCCCAGAAGAGCCCGCATAGCTGCCCACGGGCGAGATAGAATGTGGATTTACGGACATGGGGAAGAAGTCATTGGAGGACCCTACGAATCACCTTCTTATAGAGATGGTATGGACTGGCTGTCATGACAGTCTCGAGCCCTCTTATCATCTCGTCAAAAGTCACCCCCATGCGAAACGGGAAGTGATGGAGGCTTGTTTGTCATCAGAGGGATGAAGACGGACGTAGTGCAGCGATCCGTTGGCGAAAGAGGAGCAGGATGGGTGTCAGTTTGATTCAGTCGAGATGTGAGCATTGTTCGTGTCGCATCTGACGCCCCCAAAGCTCGTGCACCACCAACCAAATCCTCGCGGTTCTGGGAGATGAGACAAGTTTCTCTGCGCACGCAAATGCCAGAACCCTCGCCGAGACAAAACGCTCACAGGGCCAGGTTCAAGGTTTGCCAGGTACGTGAGCTCAGTGGCTGGAAAGCGAGCACAACAAAGCTGGAACTGGACCACAAGGCGAGCGTTGGTCTGCAAAAATGCCCTGCACCTCGCATGCAATCAAACAAGCAATCAAGCAAGACAGATGCGAGTCATGGACCATCGACAATTCTCATGCAATTTACTTCCGTTCATGTTTTCATTTCACCCTTTCTCGGACAGTCAGCAGTTACTGTGGAAATATATATAAAATCCACGACAAGGCGAAGGCTAGCGCAGAGTCGGCATGGCGTCAGTTGTGACAGCTCTTCTTTCCACCCTGCTGATCACTCGTGCTCATCTTCATCTTCATGCTTCATGGTTCTTCTTTAAGCCAAAGCCCCATTTCATTGGCGGGAATGAAGATCTGGAATCCAATTATTTCGCAGTCTTCAGAAGCTTTTCTTTAGATACTACTGCTTTCTTTCACGTGTCACGACATCTCAAATAGCACGAATCGTCCAATGCCCGAGTTCAGTGAACGAACAATCAAGAGTTAAAAACGACGCCAATTTTAATGAATCTATTATTTTAATGAAAAATTTTCTATTGCATTCATGTACAGCTCCGAATTGGAGATGGGCACTCCACTCAACGACCTTTCCCCATACCCTTGCAATGAATCATCAACGTCTGGATTCCTCGTACAAGGTATCAACCCTCGGAACTCAGAATCATCTCCGGAAGTTGAGGAAGACCACAAGACCCTAAGCTGATTGTAGACTGGCGGCCAGAGGATGGACGACAATTTCTTATGTATCAAGTGATTTCAACATAGCTCTCCTTTGGGTGGAGACGATAAAAAGAGGATAAAGTAAATAAGAGGCTCGTAGAGGGTGTGGGGAAGACTCAAAGGCATCAGAAGATTTACTAAAGCAACACAAAAAGTTCGGATCAGAGGAGATCGGTGTTGTGTGACTAAGGGACAAACTGAGTCAATGCCCGAAAGCCAAACCACGATGGAGAGATAGAGGCAAACGAGCTCAGGTGCGCTCTTTCCACTTTGGATCCAGGCATCGCATCGCTTTACATCTGTTGGAGCATGTGTGACCACTGACACCAGTCCACGCTGTAACATATGTAAAAACAATTACCATCATTCTCATTCTCAGGTACTCAGGTAATCGACAACCTCACGAGGTTTCTAGTCCGGCCAGGACCACCAGCCATGAATGTAAGGAGCGAGGCAAACCTGGTGCGCTGAAACGAGACGATCCGACTTCAGCACCCGTAGGGCTGGGCTGCACACACTCACACACACAATACAAGGCGAATCGAAATAACTCCATGCACTGCAGACGATGAGGGACAGCTCAGAAGGAGATTTTTCTTCTTCAGAGCTCACCCATGACGGCTCGGATTGGTGCAGTGCAAGAGTACGTTCGATTTTTCGTTATAAGATGGAATGAGATGAGTTCAGTACAGCCCAGTCAAGGCCAGTACACTGAGGGTAGGCCATTGGTCGGTAGACGGTTGGCATCGCCCACATCTGGGTGTCGAAGTGCAATACCCGCCCCGTCTGAGAGGACAATTCCAACCATCACCATCTGCTCCAGTGTCTAGCATGAATAGAAGATGATGTCAAGCGTCCTGTGCGTGGCGTGGGAAGTGAGGAGAAGTGACAGTAGGTGCGGGTGAGTACGAGGTGGTAGCTGAAGTCGAGCGTAGACTTGATCCAATTCTCTTGTTGCCAAGGTGCTCGAGGATCAAGCCTCGCTGCAAGTTCATCCGTCCAGGTACAATAGGCAGAGAGGAGGAGGATGAGGAGACCTGATGAAGTTGGTATTGCCCGTTGGTTTGTTTGTGTCTGCCAGACATGGCTCACCAGGGACGAAGGCAGCAGGCAGCGAGTTTGCTCTGGCAGGCGGTCCCGTTTGGAGGCGCACTTACATGGCAGGCCAGTTGGACCTCCGGATCCCACAGAATCACAAATCTATGACACCGTTGTCTTCCTTTCCACCGGGATAGGGGGGAAACTCTTTTACAGTGTCTCACTTTTACCTCGATGGATCGGGTGAGTCATGTACGACCGCATTGACTTCACCGGTGACTTGGCTTGTGATGGATCCCCGTAGACAGCTACAAACTCTCAGCTCTTCATTCATATGTCGACAGAGAACTGGGGAGTGAACATGCACGAGCAGGCACGCCAGCCAGCCAGCCAGCCATCCCTCGAGTGTTGGAGACCTGTGTGAGCCTCGAGGCTCGTACAATGCACAAGTCGTCGTCGTCTTCATCGTCCTGGTGGGGGAAAGCCGCGTGAGCATGCGCTGCAAGAGAGTAGAGGGAGCTCAGATAGATAGATAGATAGACTAGATAGAGTTCAAGCAGACGAGTTGGAAGTCAACACTGCACGTCCGCTTGGCAGAAACGTCAGGCGTCACGATTTGTTTGCTCGGAGGCTTTCGGAGTTGTGTCAAGGAAATTCCGATGTAGAAGTCTTCGGTCGTGAATACCGATCTGATGCTCTGATTTAGCACGCGGGGCAGTGACGAAGTGTGAATGGATGACATTCTGCAACTGAACATTGACTTTCGCACGAGCCGATCTGCCGTGATCACGGAGGATGATCACCTATTTTCTCTGGCCGGCCTAGCCATCAACTGAGCGTCTACACCTCCACAAATCAATGCTAAAATTGCAACAGTCTGCCCTCGCAGGGCATCACGCGATCCACTTTCACAACAGAGAAGTTTAGCGTATGGCAAATCAGTGCTCCATGGAGGGACCGTATGAGGAGAGAACGTCCTAGTCCAGAAGGACATCGTATTCTTCCTTGAATCGAAGAGATGACTCAAAGATTATCTTCCACCGTCCACTGGACTTGTCGGCACCAGCCGGTTGACTTAGACGAACAAGTCCGTGCAGTTTCAGATCGACCTGTACCGTGTTCTCGGATGACAGAGATAGCTGTTTGACTGACTGTCACAAATTTTTTTATTTTACTGACATAAGTCGCTTGGCGCTAGCAATGTCGAGTTCTGTGAGATGGTGTGCCAGTTGGCCAGGTATGAATGTAGGAATACGATATCTGGGCCACAGGAGAATACAAGCTCTGCACACGGCAGTCTTTTCACACCACTTTTCAGCTCTTCCCCAGATCGAAAACAGAGTTGAAAACCTGCTGCTGGAGAGAGCTAGAACGAAGGGCATCTCCTGTAGAACATGCTGGGGGTGGCTGACGACGCCCTTGGCCCAAGTGATATGTGCCTCGTGACGGCGCCTAGACAGAAACAGATTGTAGTGCTGGTGACGATCTGCAGGTTCTGTCCACCGGATTCCAAACTAAAGATGATCACTGGATCTGATAGTACCAAATCTCTATCTAAAAGTTTTGTCAGTAATAGATCGATCCTACCATGTGTCCAGTTCCTACTCCTTGTTCAAAACTGTCAAAATTGTCCTCCACTGTGCACCTTTTCTGGGGGTGGGGTGGGGTGTGGTGTGGGTTTCACCACACTCTTGGATACATGACCAATTTTGTATTGCTTCGGGTACTGCTGGGTGAAATAGCACCTCACGCTCCCCGGGAATTTTGATGTTCCAGAGTCCTGCAATGCTCTGCCTCCTCCAGGATAATTAAACCCTGGTCCTTGCCGGATCTCGCAGCGAATTCTCGAACTAAAGCGCCAAAGAGTGAACTGGGCTGGTCCAGGAGGTTGGAGGGTGAATCGAACTCCTTGACATATCCTGAAACGACCAGTCGAGTGCCAAATTAGAACTCTGCCAACGACAAAGAATACGATGGTGAAGCAAGTGGCATGTCTTCTACTTCTCCTCCTCCTCCTCCTCCTCCTGACAGCTCAACGTAATAAGGAAGCGCAAGTTGGGCATTCTTACCTTTGTCCAGCACCAGCACTTTGTCGCTGTCCATGACACTGGGAATACGGTGAGCAATGCTGATCACGGTACACGCGCTGAACTCGGTTCTGATGATCTTCTGGATGATGCTGTCCGTGTGGGTGTCCACTGACGCCGTGGCCTCATCCAGCACCAAAACTCTGCAGCGTTTAAGGAGTGCACGCCCCAGACAAAACAACTGCCTTTGCCCCACGCTCCAGTTCTCGCCGTTGTCCATGACTGCTCACAGCAACAACTCTGTCTCGTCAGGACGATAAAATCCAGCACGACGTGGCAGGCAATCTGCATTCTACGCGTATGGCAACCACAATTCAAGTACCTTCCGAATCGAGCTTTCCCTCCTTCTGCCTCAGGACTTCAGCCAGTTGACATTTCTCCAGTGCCTGCATGTCCACAGTCACCTGGTCACTCAAGGTTCGTCTCAGCCGAAAGGGCAGAGCGTTCGCTCCATGCAGAGGATCGACATCTTCCAGTTGCCATGGCACCAGCGTCGACATGAACTTGATCGGAATCACTAGTGTTTTAGATGCTCGGGTGCAGTAGTAGAAATCATGGAAAGCACGGAGCTACAGGTAGGGCGAGGTTGTCCATTGCAGGTATCATGCTTCTGGAGATGAATCAACAACAGTCTCGACATTCTTACCTCCCAAATTTCCTCGTCGGAATGCTCACCTAACGGATCCAGGTTGCTTCTAACCGTACCCTGGAAAAGAGAAGGTTCTTGTGGGATAATTCCGAGCTTCGGTCTTAGGTCTTTTAAACCGATAGTACCGATGTCGACTCCATCGACCGTAATGCGACCTCTAGCCGGCTCCACGAGCCGGAAGAGAGATTGAATCAATGTGGACTTTCCACTCCCCGTTCGTCCCACCACACCAACTTTCTCGCCACCTCTTATCTCGAGGCTTATCCCCTTCAGGACCAGGGGTGTATCCGTTCTATAACGCACCTGTAAAAGACATTCACAGAGTCCAGCTGTTAGCTATAGCTCTATTCACACACGAGAGAGAGAGAGAGCATGAGGATTGTGGGAGAGCTACGATGATACCTCGAGGTGCTGGAAACTGATGCTCCCGTGTGCGATCCAACCTTCCGCGGGGCGATTCTCCGGGACGATGAGAGCAGCTTCAGTTTGGATGCGCGAGTATTGATCGATGCGTTCAATAGCAACCATCCTGTTCTCCAACTGACATGACTGGTAGACCACACCGTACAGGCAGGTGTTGAGGGCCATGCCATATGAGAGCGAGAGACCGACATGATCTGCATCCACATCAAACCAGCATGAGATTACAGTCCAAAGCTGCAATCAATCAAACCTCTGAAGTCCTCGTCATGATGGATAAAATGTGCCGACCTTGGAGACGAAACAAATTCTGGATCGAAGGGGACGATGCTTATCCAGAATTCGGTGCCGGCGATTCACTCGCTGCTATACGTACTTTTGGAAGCTCGGAAGAGCAGTCAACATATATTGCTCACCTGGGTTTATGTAATCTCTAGCCATTACCATCAGTAGGGCAGAAAGGCAGAGCACGATCGTCCCGATCATCTCAAGACGGAGGCCCAACCACTCGTTGGCAGCATTGTTATGGAAATCCATCCGCAAGTTATTGTTCACTTTGTTCACATTCTCCTTGCAGAATCGATCCTGCTCTCGGAAAGCGCGGATGGTTTGAAAACCAGCGATGCTTTCCGAGAAGTGGTGAATTATCGGTGCTTTTGTCACGGAGTCCATGCGGGTGAGCTCTCGAGACGTCGCGAGATAGTATCTCTGCAGTAGTCCAGAAAAGTATCAGATGGCCGAAGACACGACGTCTGCAGCAAAGGAAGTGGGACGTGTCGTCAAAGGTGGATCCCAACGACCCAACCTCGGAAGAAAATTGTACACGCTCGATCACCAAAGGATACACGCATGGCTTCATACCTGATAGGAGCAGAACACGAAGAACAGGGGCACGATGATGATAATCATTTGCCAGTTGACTTGACACATGACGACCAAAATCCCCAAAGTCTGGGAGATGTTGGCCAAGCAAGCCCCGATTAGGATGCATATAAGCGTGTCCACGTTCGACTGGTCGACGGAAAACTGCACACACTCAGCACGCACACCCCGTCAAATTCAAGTATCGACTGACTGCTTGCACACGTCAAAGTAAGTGCGTGCGTGTGTGAGTTTCATCAGAACATCCGGTTCTGATAACAACGTTTTTTCCATATTTCCAGTAGAGATTGATGCCGTAGAGATTTATTGATGCCACGGAGAAGAGCTCACCGAAGAGCAGAAGGGGCGAGCATCTTACCCTCGTCATGATTCTTCCGGTCGGTGTGGTGTCGAAAAAACTCATGGTAGCTCTGAGGATCGTTTCCAGTAGGGAGCTGAAGAAAGCTTGAGCTGTTCTCAGACCCAAGAACGTGAGAAGGAAGGTTCTCAAAGTAATGAAAAGCCCACAAACAGCTCCGATCAGAGCGTAGGTCAAGATGAAGCGTTTGGGCTCGAAGCTGCTGGAGTTGCGAACTGAAGTGGCATCCGCTATGAAGTAATCACTCAGGATCGATGCGGTTTGCCAGCAGCACTGGAATACGAGGAGCAATGCAAATGGGGCCCCGTGGAGAATTTTGGTGGCGTACAGCCAGTACAAGCGCCAGCTGACGTGACCCGTGGCCTTCTTCTCGTCTTCCACCAGCTTTGCGGTTTCCTGCTTCGGAGCTGGAGCACCCGATTCCCGAGTCGAGCTCTTTCTCCTGGAAAGTGTGCTGCGTTTCGAGACCGAAGACGACAGATCAGGGCGGTCTTCATCGTCCTCACAACCTTCGACCGTCTGCATCGACTCTTCATGGGCCGTCACTAGTGCATGGAACTCCGTTCCAGGAATCAGAAGCCCTGCGTACGTTCCCGACTGGACGATCTCTCCGTCCCGCATAACCTGTTCAGGCAGCCAACCGAGCGCATGTCCTCAGTCTGCCACAATTCCTACACATCGTTCAGCATGAATGTCGAAGTGGCACGATGCATGGTACGTACCACTATCATGTCGGCTCCCCTGAGAAACTCGACCTGGTGTGTCACCAGAAGCACGGTCTTCGTTCCCAACGCTTGCTTGATGCATTTCTGCGCATGAATTCATGCACAAGTGTGAGGATGCGATCGAGGCTGTTTGCTCCCACGAGCTTGATTCAGTGTGGACCTGGTCGGTGTCCAGTGAACAAGATCCTGCTCAATCAGCTAAGACCACTGCCTGAAGGCCAGCTGAGCTGCAATCTCCTACAACAAGCACTCCAAAGCTCTCGAGGGCTGGCCCTTGCGTACATTATTTTCTCGAGAGAGAGAGGCGAAAGATGAAGATCGAAATCAGTCGACGGATGGACACAAGCTCCTAAGCCCGGCTTGCAAGAGGTTTGTACGAGGACAGGTGCTCGATCTTACCTCGAACAGCTCGTTTCCAGTGTGTGCATCGACAGCACTGAACACATCGTCGAGCAAGTAGATATCGGAGTCCTGATAAACCGCCCGGGCGAGTTGAATTCTCTGCTTCTGACCGCCGCTCAAATTGATCCCTCTCTCCCCGATCTCAGTCTGGTCGCCGAACGTCATCTGCCTCAAGTCCTCGACCAGCGCGCACGCCCGCAGAGTTTCCTGGTACCTGGCATCGTTCAGAGGCTTTCCGAACAGAATGTTGTCCTGAATGGTGGCGTTCTGAATCCATGCTCCCTGGGCTACGTACGCTGTCGTTCCGCTGACTCTCACCTGATCCAAGCACACTCAATTGTGAGGTCAAGTCTCGTCATCGGCCTCTCCCCGACTCACTTCAGATCTACCGCTGCAGGCGCTCTCTCGGCACTGACAGAAAGCAGAGAATCTGACAGACGGAGAATATATGAAATATGCACACGAGAGGAGAACGAGGAGACAATTCGCGAGTACCTGGCCCGAGAGTTTGGGCACTTCGCCCAGAATCGCAGACAGCATCGAGGACTTGCCGGATCCGACCATGCCCACGATGGCGACGAGCGATCCAGGCGGCGCTCGAAGGCTGACGCCGGAGAGAGTGGGAGTCGGGGCGCGAGGGTCCCATTGGAACGAGGCGCCGTGGATCTCCAGAGCGAGCGCCGAGGGGTCCCGCGGGGACACGGGCTCCGGCGCAGGCTCGAGCTCGTCGCCGGCGAAGAAGGCGTCGAGGCGCCGGAGAGAGGTGGCGGCCTGCGAGAGGTTCATGAGCGCGTTCGGGAAGAGGCGCAGCGGCTCCTGCATGATGCGGAAGGTGGCCAGCGCCGTGAACACGGCGCCGGGAGAGAGCGGGGCGCCGAGCAGCACGCGGAGCCCGAAGGTGACCACGGCCACGGCCACTGGCGCCGACCAGAGCACGGCGATGCTGGCCGAGAAGCAGTACATGAACTTGGCCAGCAGCCGGCGCTCGGCGTCGCGCGCCTCGGCCACTTTCCCGGCGAAGTGCTCCTCCCAGGCCTGCATCTTAATGACGCGCATGTTGCTCAGTATCTCGCCGGCGGCGGCCATTCTCCGGTCCTTGAAGGCCATACTCCGGCGCTGGAACCCGCGCATGCTCTGGACGATGCGCAGGTTTACGACGATCGACAGCAGCATGACGCCGATCCCCGCGACGCACGCGACGCCCACCACCGAGACCAGGATCCCCAGCGCCGCCGTCACCTGCAGCGGCAGCGTCCAGACGCAGTGCAGCTGCACGAGGCTGTCCGCGACCATCTGCACGTCCACCGTCATGAGGTTTGCGACGCGCCCTGCGCCTCCCTGCGACTGCCGCGCGTGCGCCGTCAAGCGCAGCCCCTTGCGGTACACGGCCGTGACGAGGCCCGCCCGCGCCAGCATTCCCACCTTGTTGCTCTGGAAGTTGTGGTGGTGCCCGGCCAGCGCCTCCGCGACCTTGGCCGCCAGCAGAGCGCCGACCAGCGCGTAGCCCTCGAAGCGGAAGCGCTCGCGTCCCGCGACGCAGTCGACGATCGGCGCGATGAGCAGCGGCCCCACGTACATGACGCTCACTTTGACGAGCGCCAGCGCGCCCGTGACCGCGAGCTCCCGCCTGAAGGTCCAGAGCAAGGCCCTGCTGGCGCACCCCGCGCCTCCCTTCCCCCGTCGCGCCTCGTACTCGCTCTCGAACCGCGCGTGCGCCCGCTCAGCCCCGAGCTCCGGGCCCAACTCCGGCACGTCACTCGCGCCCAGAGCGCCATGTCTTCCATCTCTCAGAAGCGGATTCAACCACCTGAACGACAATCGCTCGATGTACCCAGCTCCGACATAATTCGTCGCTCTCTCCTCGCGCTCGTGCTCGTGCTCTTGCTCGCTCTCTCGTTTCGGCAGCTGCGAGCCACCGCCGCCACCACCATCATCTCCCTCGTCCTCGTCATCCTCATCGTCATCTACGAGTTGGTGCTCCTGCTCTTGCTGCTGCCGTTCTCGTTCGCCGTCTACTCGTTTGGTCATCGCGTCCTCGTCTTCGTTTTCGTTCTAGTCTTCGTCCTCGTCGTCGTCCTCGATACGGCTGATGTCAAATTCGCCACATTGGGCGATGAAGAGGAGGAATGCAGGTGCTGGGATCGTGGCAATCGTGGCGTCGACAACATGGCCAACGCCTCGTTCGGCCACTGGCCCGTGAAATGAGACGCCCGATGGAGTACACTAAAGCTGGACAGGAAAGGGCAGAGTCCGTAATCCAGCAGCCGCGAGCACTGCAGACTATTCCCATGCTCGTGCTCATGCTCGCGACGGTCTCGTCCCATCGGTGTCCGGAGATTCCGACCGCAGACGACACGAGCTCATGGGAAGGAATGTACGAGTGAGTGAATGAATGTCTGTCCAGCTGTATGAAATCAGGCGACTCATCATTCGCACAAGGCATGTCCTGTTGGGATGGATAGATGCGGTGAGCCGAAGCGCGATCGACAGTGAACCCACGTGCAGCAGACTCAGATCCCTTCCTCCGGCCTCCACTCTCGTCTCATGGCAGTCGACGCCTTCCCGAGGTCAGAGCCGTCTCAATTTGCACGATGCAGACGAAGACATCCACTGTGGGCACGAGTCATCCCTGTGCCTGTGCCTATAACAGTGCGGCTTGAATAGCTCTCGGGCCACAGCTTCCGCTCTCACTGTCCGACTCGGCGAGGCTCGAGTCCACGCTCCAGCGCTGCGGGAGCGGGAGGCGAGTCAGCTGCCACAGCGACAGCTTACGAGGCCTCTGGGATTATATCTCCCCTTCGTGCTCGATAACTGTAGGATTGCGTGAGACGGATCATCTCGTTCTGCCACGAATGCGAAGAGCCCCGAGAGTCGACCACGATGCACTCGATGGAGAAATTCGAACACCTGATTGTGCGAATTTCAGTGGCACTCGATGGCGACATTCGCACACTCAAGTGTTCGAATTTCTTAGCCATGATCGGCATTTCGATAGCCTTGCAACCGCGAGTTCTCCGCAGGCACTGTCAGTGTTTCAGGCACGGGTAATCTTCCGCCATGAGGCACAGTACTCTCACTCACACACATATTCGTGATCTCTCTCTCTGAGAATTCGTTGGCAACAAAGCTGCGTGCAATGGCGGCGTTAATTAACATGTGAGTGTGAGGGAGTGACTGACTGACTGCTCGAAACTAATGGTACTCTTAGTACCATTAGTTTCGAGCACCACTTGAAACAGATAAACTTTATCGTTGGGCTTACAGCTGCGACGGATGTAGGAATCTCAGAATGGTGCAGATAAATTGGGGGAAAGCTGAAGGAAAGTGTCCGGCCCGCCGAACTGAAGACTCGATTTACACAGAAGGCCTTCTTGAGCTTCTCCGTTCCTAGAGCACGCCCTGGACCTTCGTCCCAGAGGCAGATTTTCGAATTATTTCACCCTCGTAAGTACTGGCACGCGGGACGAGGAAACAGGCCGGGCCAAAATCAAAATTTGCAACTCGTGTCGTGACTCGGTGAGGTAGATCCATGACGATCACGCATCGAGCTCGATACACGCGGTGCACACCAACATTCAGCTGCTGCAGAAGACAGAGAACGACGGTCGTTCGAGAGTCCGGCTCTCGTCCACGATGGGGAGCGAGCGAGCTGCTTCCGATCAGCGGTGGTGGGTCCGACGAGCAGCTGATTCAGATCTGGGGACAATGGACTAGCGCCTTGTCCTGCTTGCGAAAAGCTCAAGCCGCGAGAGTTTTGCAGTGCGGCCATTTCACCTCCGCTGCTGGTAACTTTTGAGCCGGCGGCGCAGCAGATGTCACAATGCTAGAAACAAAATCGTAGGCGCCACCGATACAGACAGCAGCACGACCGGCTGGGCTGACCGACCCACTCCATGTCACCCACGGCGTCGCAGCGCAACATCCAGCAGACATTCTCAACTCCGTAAAGTCAGTCGTAGGCCATGACTCCCGACTCTATGCTCAGGGCTGCATTGTCCTCCTCACCTCCCGTCAATTCATACAAGTATACAAACAATGAGCTCCTTCATGGAATCAACTTTCGCCTGCTTATGATGCTTTTTTATTATTATTTTATTGTCCTCTATAATGACAATAATAGTGGTTTCTTTACTAATCCGTGACTTATCTTTTTCAGTGGCACGGGCCTTCGCATTCATTCCCGAATTATGACCTATGAGCAAGAGCAAGTCTTAGCACTACCGGTATCATAGTGGTATTGCTTTGCTCGAAGAGCACCTGTGTGAACCTATAGAGATAGCTTTAGTGTGATCATCAAAACAAATTTCACTGGATCAGACATTCGTGATTCTCTACTCTCGGATTTTCGAACACATGTTCCTCTTAATCTAAACCTCTCAGACTCACCCGCAAAACTTTTGACCTTTTTACTTTCTGCCACTAGAGTATATCTACACTCACAGGTTCACATGCCTGCCTCGTACCATGGCTTCGGTTATCTACTTTGCTTGCCTTATTGGACGTCCTTTAACAGATTCAAAAGAAAGTGGACACGTAGATCCGGGTGTGGTTCAGCTCCTGATAACATCAAGGGCTCCCGTGATCAAAACCGTACTGTCTCGTCTGTAAACTCTTCCGACCGCCGTTGGAATTTTGTTGTTATTGTCCTCAACATCCTCAATTCCTCACTCGGTCCGCTTCAGATTAATTTGCTATCTTGGTTTCAGGTAGATCTGGGGTTAATTTCACGTAAAGCTGACATCAGTCGTCAAAGAAATTATTGTCTCATATAGAGTCACATCGTCACAATTCTTCCACCGCCGAACTTACGATGACTTCTCTCTTAGTTTCAGCTACCTCCCAACATAATTTCTAAAAAAAATTGACAGCAGCTTTCGACCAACCTCTTAACTCCTGATGACTAAACATTTGTTCCTATCTGAGAACCTTCTAAATGTTTGAAAACCACATTACAGCTTATTTAAGTTAGTATCTATCTCTGAACTGATTGAACTCCCCTATTGCGCAGAAAGTGAAATGGAGAAGTGTAAGACAGAAGAATCAGAGAAAAGTGTTTCTTACAATCCCATGTGCTAGACATGGACGAATTCACGAGGTCACTCTTCTACAGCTAACTGGTACGTACTTGGGACTGTTCGTCGTCTCATTGCTACTTCTCTTCTCCATGTACAAGTATGAAACATAGCTCCTCGTATGATGGGCCAATTCCAGTTCTGCCGACGGCAAATCCCACAGTGCTGCAAAGCTTTTACTTCCCTACGACGAGATGAAGAACGACGCCCCTGAAGGTACAGTTCCCTGATCCCTCGATAAATTGAACTTTAATACCATTACGTTCGTACATTTTTCTTTCGTGTTCTTTCGTATTTCATCCCATCTATACCCCCATTACTGGGATTGTTTCACCAGCATTTTGGATAGCTCTGCCTGCCACTATCGTAGCCGTCAAACAAACCAAGAGAAGACACTGCACAACGTGTAAGCCCGTTCCAAGAGACAGATATCGAAGCTGAGAACTCGTCTGCACTTCCGAGCGTCTAACTCGCTCGGATCACCGACAAACTCACCGAGAAGATCTAAATCCATAGTCTCAGACTTGAGAGTCCCTTCCGTCTGTACCAAAGCTTGCTTGGGTCCTCGTTCAAGAACCTTATCCATCTTGCCTCAATATTCTGTTCCGCCTGCGACGATTATTCGACTATCTTCTCTTAGGGAGTGCCATCTCTAGGTGATCTTGCTTTAGCATTTCCCCACTCTCATTCACGCAAATCAGTTTCTTTCGGGCTTGACAAACGTCAACTAATCTAGACTTACCTTACGTAAAATTTCCTCCCTTCAAAGTTTTATTATGAACTTCACTTGTGTCTGGCTCGTCATCCAGATACAAGTGATGGATTACGGTTGTGGATAACGCGCTGCAGAGCCGCCAGCCACAACATTTATCAAGAGCATGTGCTCCGTTACCCGAATTAGTTGTAAGGACGTAGTTAAAATAGTGGGAAATTATTTTCTTGTTTGAGGAATCCAGTTCTTTGGCCCCAAATGAGCGGAAAATTGTTAGCCCCAAGTGGGTGAAGACAGGTATGTAAATGAGGCTGTTTGCTCACGCGTGTTGAAGTAAGGGCTGGGTTTAGGAGTGATGTCTGAACAAAAGCTCGACAGAACTAGCTGGGAACGTCAAAACGGAGTTTTGTCGATGCCAGAACTGTCGCAATGAAGAAGGTGAGACGGACTCAAAAGAACTCGATGGAATCACCAGAATTGCCAGAGTTGAGAATAACAATGATCGACAGTAACGCACCTCTCATTATATGTCCTATATGGTCGTAAAGTATGAGGAATGAATATCAAGAATAGTAGAGCAATTGAGATGAATTGAACAAGGAGAGCATGAATTTTAAAATAAAAAATTTATGAATTTTTTTATTGAAGTTTAAAAAAAATGCAATTTATTATAACTAATTTGTCAATTAATATTTTAATATATTTTTTTTGAATCAAATATGATGACTATCACAATTCAAAAAATAAACAATAAAATCATGGCAATTGAGTCATTAATCTAGATATCAATTTCATCTACCACCGTTACCTATAATTTGTGATTTTTTTACCTCTTGTAGTGCAACACCTTCTTGATTTCTTTATACATTTTGCTTGAAAAACAATTTCAAACTTCACCTTGCCCGTCATCGTACCTTGAGCAAAATAGCTTGTGGTGTGTTTGGGTTCCCGGTTGCGACCACTTATAATACCATTTTCATCATGATACCACCTTAATATATATATTTTTATTCTTGATCAGCTTTTTCAAAAACATCTTTGTATTTGTCACCATTTCATTTGTCTCTATTAGGTCTCCGATCGGATTCGGGAAAAACCGGAAAACCCGAGTTTGGGTCAGAGCAGGTCCGGGTTCGGGTAGAGGGTTGTACCCGACCCGAAACCTAGAGGGGAAAGTCCAAGAATGAGAGAGTGACAACCATGTGACCATGAAATCCATATGTGCGAGGAACGAAGACCTCGACAGGTGGTACAGATCAGAAGGTTGAGTCACTCTTCCTCAATGGTTTTTATCTCTCTGAGATGGTTTGAGACGGGCAACGAGCTAAAAGTCCATTCTGATATATCTCGAGAAATTTGACTTGAAGAATTTCATGATGACAACCACCATCCTGCACCATCATCACCACATCGTGATCTTTAATTTCTTCCCATAGTTTTGAAAGATTTCTATGATCAGATCTTCGTCATCTGGCCCACGTGAAACTCGGATCAAATTGGCCGAGATACTCGTCAAGACTGACGGGCACTCATACATTTGCATCCATCCACCGAATCCAAAAACCACCTACAGGAAGAATGCATAATCGCCGGCCGATTGATCGACACAAGACAGAGAACAAGCGCACGCGAATGAATTTTGTTATTCCAAAGCCTTCATGGTAGTGAGGAAACCCGACAGAGATTTGAAGGATGAATAATACTCACCATCGGTAATCCATCGACGTTTTGGACATGGTTGTTGCTACTGGACTCCGTAGATTGATTAAAAGATTCCTCGTTGTTGTCTTCGAGCGGACGCATGGAGCCCAATCGGCTAGCTCGGGCCCTGGCAAAAGCTTGAGAGGAATCAACTGCATGCGCATGGGGATCCATCTTCCAGGCACCGAATTGCTGAACTGCTTGTCTATTCTGCACAAAATTCCAAGTTCGGTCGCGAATCATCGGTCTCTTTAGGTGTTAAGATAACGCATATATTGAGCAGGCTCGACGAAGAATCTTGAGGTGCCTTCAGTTTACGGATTGACCCAGATCCGACCCAAATCCGATCCGGTTTTTGGAGTCGGGTTCGGATTGAAGGTCAAACCCGACCCGAACTGATCGGAGCCCTAGTCTCTATACATTTTACGTGAAAAACAATCCAAATGTTTTTTTTCACTACTTCCCTCGCGGAATAATTTATGGTATGCTTGGACTCGCCGGTGCAGCCACTTATGATTGTGGCGATTACGAGATCAACCACCATTTTCTGTAATTTTTTATTTTTATACCTCTTATTCAAAAACGTAAGCTTTCTCTATACTTTTTAACTCAAAAATAGTCTTCAATGTATGTGTTTGTTACTTGCTCCGCAGAATAGCTTATGGTATGTTTAGACTTGCATCGCGACCACCTATGAGTGTGGCAATTACATGAGGAGTCTTCTTATCAATTTCATCTATCATCATTATTTGTATTTTTTATTCTTGTAGCGTTTGTTCGCCAACTTCTTGTTTTTTATTGTTTCACTTGTCTCTATATATTTTGCCTCAAAAACAATCTTCAATGTATTTGTTCATTATTTTCTCTGCGGAATAGCTCATGATATGTTTCGGCTGGACATTGCTGCCACTTATGGCTATGGCAATTACGTCATATATCTATGTACAACTTTCATCTTTCATCATTAGATTTAATTCTTGATTCTTTGATGCTTGTTTTGCAACAACTTCTTGATTGTAACAGTTTCATCTTTCTCTATATATTTTTTCTAAAACAATTTCAAATGTACCTATTTCAATCATCCGCTCCGCAAAAATGCTAATTATGGTCGTGACAATTACAATAGTCTCCCACTTAAGTACGCATATGGAACCCTTAATATCTATGCGTACTTAACCATTTCACTTCCAGAGATTTTGCGTAGAGCTCCAATGTCGAAGAAATCGAATACCAAGCGCCTGAACAAGTTTCAATGATGTGAGATCTATTCAAAACTGAGAAAGTAGAATCCTCCAAGCATACGTGCTAAAGCGCGTGAGTATGAAATTAGCAAAGATTCTGTGAGGAAAATATGGGGGAAACAAAATTTCATTCTCGAACGATCAGCTTTGCTCTTCGAAGAAACTAGTTAGATTACCTGTAGAACTTCAGTCGGACGATTTTCTAAACCTGAAGAAAAATTGTACACTTGGATTGATAGCATGCGTCGTGCGAAGCTTCCTGTACCGCCATCTTTTACAATTGCAAAGGCAAAAGGTATCGCATCTACATTATTAATTTTTTTATATAGATATTAAGGATTCATGGTATTGGCTTGATACTTTTAGAACACATCGAGGTTTGCAGGAAATGCTTCAGCACGAAGAAGGCGCAGCGTTTCACAAGAATGATCAAGGTTTACTATCAGCCTTGGAAGGATTATCACTCATCATCGCTCAATACAATCATGAGAATGTATACAACATGAACGAAACATAATTTATTTATTTTTGTTTTCCAGATATTTAATTCTTCTGCCGAACGCGTGTATTTCAAGCACCAAAGTTAAAAAATCGTGTTTCTTTGATAGTTTATGCAAATGCTTCTAGATCACATAAAATTCTTTGCGTAATGATTGAAAGCCAAAGGAATCAGCTTGTATTAAAAATTGACACTGATCAATTATTTATTTCAATCAAGCTAAGGCTTAGATGGACGTGAAAATTTGCTAGATATGGTTCAATGAAATCTTTGTTTCAGAAATCAAGAGACGAACAGTACGTCTAATTCTTTTATTGATAGATAATGCGTCATGACGCTTCCATGCTTTTGAATGCGACAACATCTGTGTGCTATTTTTTACTCTAAATTGTACAAGTTGATAACAACTTTATGATATGGGAATTATTGTTGTTGGTAACAAGTGATATAAATATTTATATCACAAGGATATACTCAATTTATATGAGCTTGACGAGAAGTTGAAGCAGTAGAATAGAGGATTGGAAAAAAAATTATGACAAGATGCAGCAAGAGATTTTTACGAAAATCCAACACATGTGTTGGACGTTAAAATTGTTTTAAAAATTGCATTTTGTAATGCAAAGCTCATGAATTTGAAACTCAAACCAGGGATTTGAGAGCAAAATTAGTTTGATTGTCACTGAGTTAGTTGAAACGATCAACAATTTAAATTTATCGATTGATCACTCATATTTGGAAAATTTTGTTCGCATTGACGACAAAATAAATGAAGAATATGTTGCATCACTGCTAGAAGACGTCAGGGAATTGTTAGATTCGATAAGGATTGATATACAAGATCTTGATGAGGACGATATTGATTTATCCGAGGAGATTATAAATTCACAGGATAGTATTGATTTTCATGGATTTGAATCCTTGTATAAGATTCTTGATATTGAGTATCAAATGCTTTGTTCTATAATTCAATAGAAGTTTAGGATTCATTCGACGATATGAAAAAATAGTTTTAAATATTTCAAGCTAAGGTACGAGCAGTGTTACTTAATTCCAGAAGCAGAAAAAACTAGAACATGCTTCAAGTTACAATTCACGATATGCTACATTGAAATCTCTGAAATTTATAGTGAAATATTTGAACTCTATAATGAAATTGCTAAAATTTACAATGAAATCGTTGAGAATGTTGATCGCTATAAATCTTCTGAAAAAGTGTGTACTTAAGTGGGAGACTACTTTACTTGACATATCTTGACGTCATTTTGAACTATCATCATTAATTTTAATTCTTGATTCTTTTAACTCTTGTTCTTCAACACTTTCTTGATTGACAATGTTTCTTGTGTTTCTACATTTTGTCCAAAAAACAATCTAAAATGTTTCCAGGTTCAACATCTCGTCCGCGGAATAATTTATGATTTGCTTGAGCTGGACGTTGCGATCGCTTATGGTCACGTCAATTACGTGATCAGTCTTGGTGTAGTTGTATTTATCACCATTATCTATCATTTTCAATTCTTGTACCACTTTTTACTGCAACACATTCTTGATTGTCATAGTTTCATACCTCTCTGTACATTTTGACTGACAACCAATTTAAAATGTTCATGCGTGTTATCACTCCATCCATGAAATAGCTTATGGTTTGCTTGGGCTGGTCGTTGTGGTCACCTATGATTGTGGTGAGTGCGTAATTAGTCTTGATATCATTTACATGTATCAACATATATGTAATTTTTTATTCTTATACCATTTTTTGTGCTACATCTTCTTGAATGTCACCGTTGCACATGTCTCTATACATTTTGCTACATAAAAATAATTTCAAATATCCTCGTGTTCACCATTTATTTTTCATAATAGTTTATGATATGCTTGTGCTATACGTTGCGGTCATCTATAATTGTGATGAATCCATGATCAATCTCAGTATCATTTTCATCTACCACCATTATTTGTAATTCTTCAATCTTGTAACATTTGTCTCTTAATAATTTCTTGATTGCCAGAGTTTCACTTCTCTACATACATTTTTTTTTCTGAAAACCATCTCAATGTTTGTGTTCACTACCCGCTCCGCAAAATAGTTTACAGTATGCTTAGGTAGGGTGAATTTTGTTTACAATGAGAATTATTTCAATCCATATGCAAATCATCAAAAACTTGAATCATCTCTATGCTATGACATAGTATATGTTAGACATCAAACGTTCTCCACAACATATATTGAACAAAGAGAACATGAACTTTAAACAAAAACATAATGAAATTTTCTTTATGAATTTTTGAAAAAATTTCTATTTATTTGAATTTATTTTTCACATAATAATTTTTTATTTTTTGGAATCAATTATTATGACTTTTAAAAATCAAAAATAAAAAATAAAAACTTTTTTTTTATCAAAATTTCAATCTCTCTTTATTTGCAATAAGCATATCATATACACATCTAACTTCAAAAATATATTATCTAAACATTAAATATATATTTGAAAATCCATTATTTTTTGTTAAAAATATACAATATATCAAAACATCAAAAAAATCCTAAACATAAAAAAATTTCATATAAAACCCAAAATTTTTAACAAAATATACTTAGTGTATGTTATTTCTATTATTATTTATGATACAGAATAATTTGTGAAAATATATAATGTTGTTTAAAAGTTAAAAGAAAGATAAATTTATATTAATAATAAAATTTGATGTCATTATTTTGTGCGATAGGATTTAAACCTACATTAAGTGAGCACACCAAATATTTATTTGCAATAAATCTATAATTATTATAAAAATATTAGAGGAATAAGATATCTTGAATTTATAATTGCATGTTAATGTTAGTTCTTATGCATTTTAAATTTTAAAAATAAAAATTAGGTTTCTAAGTTAAAATTAAATCTAAGTCTGAGTAATATCTAGAATATGATTTTAAAGAATTTAAAATAATGTAACTATAAAAATGTAATCTAAGAAAAATATTTGTTCAAATGATGTCACTTTATTGACAAGAAAATGATATAATTCTATAAAAATATAAAATCAAGTCAATAAATCACTAAATGCTTTCCCACGTAACCATTTCATTACATATCACGTGTAACTGCGCAGCATTATGCGCAAATTCATATAACCAGCTTTTAAGATTATCTCTCCTCCTGATTATGCTTACAGTTTAAATATTAATAGTTATAAATGGAGAAAAAATATCACATTCTGATTGTACTTCTACATATAGCTTATGATAATCTACATAATTATGTATACTTTGCATCTTTATATAATTCGTACTTGATTACAACGAGGATAATGACTAGTAAAGTTCTATAAACACACAGTTCATCAAAGTTATCAAACCGTGGACTCATTATCGCCTCACATTGAGAGCTGACTATTTACCAGGAATGATTATCACCATATAATTATATCGACTATCCTAAAGAAGAATGATATCAACATCTTCATATGATATTCTATTTCCATAGGATAGTCACGTGACAGCACAATCACGATCGATTTCTCATAGATCTAGTCACATGACAAATGTTGATGTGAGCTTCTTGCACAATACATCTTCATGTAAATGATTTTGTTTCTATAATCATAATAAACCTATGTCAAAATTTGAAATTGTATTTTCCATTTTTGTATGTACATTTGGCAAAGAAACTTACTCGTAGTCTCTAATCTGTTTGGGTTTATCCGGGAAATAATCAAATATTCAAAAATAGTCAAGAGTAAAGCGGAGAAAGATGTGAGCAACTGCGAAAACAGCGAAGGGTGTTACCGTGGGGAAGGCGTAGCGAATGCCTTGCGTCCAGAGGCTGGCAGCAGACGTTAGCCGCCAAACTTTGGCGTCAGGTGAACGAGGAAAGTGTTCCACGAAGTCTTGGGATTTCGCAGGCTGTCGAGATCTGTCACCAGTCTCCCTCACGTTTGGTATTGGGGCCTTGTCATCGGCCGATCCGCGGGAAATCGTACGAATTGCTCTCGCTGGCTGTGAAATTGTGAGTCTCTACCGTTCCCTGCGAATGTTGATCTCTGCTGTTCGCTGGTTCGGCCAGAAATACCGAATTGTGGTGCTTTTTTAGGACCTTCAATTGCAAGGGAATTTTCTCCGGTCTGTTAGTCTACCCTGTCGGGGAACTGACTTGTCGGAAAGGAGCTGAGAGCTTTGCAGGCCTGGTCGAGTACAAAGTTCTAGCAGTATATTTTGGTGTTGTTCAAATTTGTCTGCAGGTTCGTTGTTTCTTGTAATATGTGCCCTGTTCCCTCTTTCGACTTCACGATAGATGATTTGGATGTGTGGAGGTTTGGGCCTCGATCTGCACTATTTTTTCTGTATGGTGGCTTTTAGCGTGGAATTGAAAATAGTAACCCCGCCAATATTTCTATGGACAAATCGCCTTTGAGTTAGGTTTACTTAATTCGAAACTGTCGTAACTTGAAGCGTTCGATTTAGCCTACCGATCCTGCCTGCCCATGTTATTCGGCATTTTGGTTACGGGTACTCGCGAGCAAGATCATCAGAAGGACCTGTTTGGCCCTTTGAAGTTGTTCTGTACTAAGACAACGGAGATGAGGTTGTTCTCACGGCTGTATTTCTTTGTTGGTTTTCGTTCAAAGACGCTTTCGTGGAGCTGGTGGATGCTGCAGCAAAGATGTCACAGTTTGAATTGTGGGGGATGAATTTCACTTGTATGGTGGACCCGCTTATGCTGTATGAAATACCTCCTAAGGATTGCGTGCTGCCGTTGCTGTCGAAAATTCTGGGCTACTGCATAGTGGCTGCATCCGGAATCGTGAAGCTCCCGCAGGTGATTATGCCAGGTGGAATGTGGCTTTAGTCTGTGTTTCATGGTTATCAGTATCCATCGTGTGTATCCATCAAAGTCATAATACTCAAACAAGCATCCTCTGTCCGGCATGATCCAGCAGAGCACAGATCCGTTTATTTGAGTTGATTTGTGGTGACGTATACATCTGGCAGATGTTCTCGTTTGGGTCCTACATCTCACCGAGTATTTTTTTGTTTTCTACAGATCCTTATAATTATGAAAAGTCGTAGTATTAAGGGACTTAGCAAAACATCTTTCGAGATGGAGGTCGTTGGTTTTACAATCGCTTTGTCGTATTGTATATACAAGCGTATTCCATTTTCAGCATACGGGGAACTGGTCTTTCTTCTTCTTCAAGGTACCAATCTTGTAATCTTCGTTTCATTGCTTGCCAACTTTTCTTTCAGTGATTGAAAGTTTGTCACTGCTCATAGTAATCAGCCTGCTCATGGACAGAAGCTCATGGTACACAGGTTCATTGTTCATTATAAACCCTCTGTCTTCTTTTTATATATAATTCGAAAAATCCTATCCATATCTCAAGAGGTTGGTGTGGATGGGAGATTCACTTGAAAAAACCCACACGTGTTTTTCTTCTAATGAAGAATATCCCGAAGTTTCCCTGTTGCATGAGAACTTTGCACTTTACCGATATGCTTTTTTTACAGGAATATTTCTCCTTTTGCTTATCTACTATCACTCAACAAATTTGGGACCTGCGACCCTGGTGAAGACTGCATTGTATCCTCACCGGAACGATATCAAAATTTGTTTAAGCATCGCTTCAGATTATTAGATATATGTACTCAAATGTACAAATTATTCGTTATAACAGGCATTTCTCCCGAGTCCATTTGCACATCCTTAATTTTACATACAGGTACTGTGCATTAGCACCCACTCTTCTGGCTGGTAACGTGAGTGAAAACGTCATGGAAACTCTATATGTAAGTTCACATCAATTGAATTGCTTCATTTTGTTCAAATTTCGGTAGGATCAAAGTTTCATGAAAGTTCTCATGGACATGCAAGTTAGTTGTTTGGTGGATACCCTAGCTATATGATAAACCTAGTGTGAAGCATGACTTGAGTTATGTCTTGAATTCTTTCTTGTGGAGAGGAAAGATAACGAACTGTTCGGCAGAATATAGGTTTCGGTGCAGAACCTCAAGCAATAGTTTTCTGAAAACATGGATGAGCTAACGCCTACAAACAGATGAACTATGACTGCATCCTTGGTGTTGATTTTGATGTTGGACTAACTTGATGTCGTTGGCATGTAACCTACAGGCTTCTCAACATGCCATTTTCTTCCTCTCCAGGATACCTCAGATCTACGACAACTTCGTTGTAAGTAGTGAATTTGGCTAATAGAGTCTCGGGCTGTGGGATGAATTTGACATTGTATTCAAAGCGTTCTTCAATGGTTAGTAGCTGCTTTACGAAGACGTAAGGTCGAAGATCGCATTCCTTAGTTGGACATGGTGAACGTATGAACGAACCGCATGAGAGGACCAATATCACGTTGTATGCTTCTTCTGCTGCGATGTTTGTACGTAATTTTTGCCAAAGGAGCACGTGATGTGGAATGTTGAAGGTATCACTCAGTATCATGCGTTCTCAAACTATGATGCGGGATGTGTCAGTTAATTTGTCCTCAAGTTTACAAAGCAACTTGTCCAAGGTGTCGGCTTTGAATCGGTTCAGTCTTTCGTTCTTGGTACTTAGTGTTGTAAGTTTCTTTTGATGCCTTTGCAGAACAAAAGTACTGGTCAACTAAGTTTCCTCACAAATTTTATGGTATTTGGTGGCTGCATCGGTAAGTCCAGTCTGTTGACATGTTTATTATTTCTCATTTTGTCAATTCTATCACGTTGAATAACATTGTCTCTGTTGTTATCTTTATTAACATCTTCGTCTCTTCTTCTTGACGCAGTGAGGTTATTCACGAGCATTCAAGAGAATGCTCCTAGTAGCAGTATCCTTGTCCCCCATTAAAAGTTGTTTTTATTACTAAGTCCGTTTGTTCGTTGTGGACGACTTTCAATCCTGCTAAATTGATCTTTTCGAATAGTATCTTGTATCTCTCCATCCCATCGAGGGTATAGGGACATTTTTGTTGGTTGAGTGGAGTTTTTACAGTCACAACGAGAAACGTTTTTCGTTTTTGTTTTGTTATGTTCGTGTGAAGCAGTTATCCTTGACATATAATCAGTGATTCTTGGCAGCTGTCTTGGGCTTCTGACTAATGGCACAGTCTTCACACAGCTGCTCATGTACAGAGGGCAACAAGTGAAGGACAAGACAGCATAAGTCTCAACGTGTTTGTGAAGAATCTTATTCCATATTCGAGCTGTGTTGAAATCGATACATGTAAACGGCAATTATGGGCCTTCTGACTTGTAACACATTTTCTGCATCCGAAATCTTTTGCTGGAAATGTTGGGGCTACATGCCTTCTTTTTACACTAGAACCTCTGTTCCAAGAATCAAGGTCAAACAGCGTGCCTCCCAAATAGCATCGATTTTACAAGTGAGCAAATTTGTTGCTCGCTGTGGTTGATCCAGTGTATTTTGAAGGGTTGGAAGCTCTAACCCCCAAGTTATAGCAAACAGGAAGAAACGCTGAAATCGTAACCTTTACGCACTCCCGTCATTGCTGTGGTAGTTGAAGGCTACTAAGTGCGATTCAAATCGCGAAGTCAGAGTGAAAATGTTTGGTGTGGAAACAAAGCTTGTGTAAAATGCGGTCTGCTCTTTTGAGAGCAGATTCTTGTAACAAGGATTTGGACTGTCCGATAACGATGAAGCAAAGCATGGATTCTACGATGTTAGTCTTTCATAACTACGTTATCTTTTGTTTATTGAGTTGCCGTTATAACACGTAGACCAGTGGCATTCGCATTTCTTGCAGTCAACTGTTTTCCATCCCCTGTCCACCGTTCTAGTCTCGTCGTCAAACTGTTATTGGACTGGTGGAGACGGATCCCTCATCAGCGTTGGATCAACTTGCCCTTTATGTGGTCCAGGTATCTGAGATGGTGCATGGCCGAGGTTTCTGTATACACAACCAGGGTTGCCCGCGTGTTGTACGATGTTTTTTATTTTTCAATTCAGAGGAGTTGGTACTTCGTTATTCGGGCAAGGATCGCATCGGATGGAAATATTTGTGATGTTTCGTTAGTGAAGCAAAGTATTCCTTTTCAGTTTGCCTATGCAAGCCTTTTAAATCTTAAGCTTGCCGAATGTTTTGATGTTGTCGAATGCACCGTTCTGCGACTGCATGCGAAAGCTGGAGTCTGCAACCCTGCGTGTAAAAGACGAAACATGGATGAAGTGTGTCAAGTATCTGGCAATTCTTAAGTCTCACCACAACACAAACAAGCGTGGTGTGTTTGTGTTGTAGTGAAAATTGAGGAAAGTCGTTTTTGCAGGCTTGAACTTGGAATGTTCCACATGTGATGGAGTTAAGGCATTTGCAAGAACCAACGTCGTTCACTACGAGTGCTCTTGATTCATACTAAGGAACAAGGCGAGTTGTTGTACCCTGTTTGAGCTAGGTCAGAGTCATCCTCGAGGGTCATTCTCAACAGAACAGCATCACATGTCTCGCCCAAAGCACAGCAAATCTGCATTTTACTGAGGCCAGACATTGTTGCACAAATCTCTCCGGTTGCACCAAAGAAGAAGACAGAGGTCATGAAGCCTGCATACAAGATGCGAGCGTCAGCTAGCTGCCTGTGCCTCTGCGATCGACGGTCTCGCTCTGTGGAGGAAACTCCGACATGAGCAATGGCCGGAGTCAAAATTAGTGCGTCGACTTTACCTCTGCAGGGTCACCATCCAAATTGACCCTAAGCTTCTCTTGATCTTGTGTAGTGGTCCATCTATCTGCTTATGTGGTTCTTATTGACTCCAGTTTGACGAGACAATCTTTAAAGAAGCATGCAGTGCACCATGTCTATCTATCTCTCTTTGGCGGGGTTTAGATGATTCGTGTTACCTCGTTTCGCTTAGGAACTGCGCTCAATGGTACAGTTCCTACAATATCCTTGGAAACTCTACGTAGTTGCAAAAAGACCTCGAAAATATAACTTTGCTTGATCTTCTGGCGTGCTTTTTTGAGTTTGCACTTTGAACAAAGAATTACTTCCATTGCGGTATGTGACGGCAAAACTTCACCCTTCTGCCCTATCATTTGAATAAGTACATTTGCAGTGTCTGTAGGGAAGTGAGTCTGATGAAGTTTTCTGGATACGTCTCGATAGTACCGTTTCGTGTGCAGATCTTCGGAAATGACTGACTGTTGTACTCCATGTCGACGTCAAGTCGTCTTTACTGTTGTCACGGTGTTGAAACTCTCAAATTGGTCGGCGTGTTTGATGGAGTTTTACCTCGAGCGTCACTCACTTCCGTGTGCATTTGTGGCACCCTTGCGTTCAAAAAACTGGAGAACATAACTTTAAACATAACTCTGACCCGAAGATATCTAGCGCAGTTTGAGAACCCAATCTCAAACTTTGGAATCTTCCTCGGAAACACAACCAACGAGATTGAATCAACTTTTTCCGTTGTTGCCCCACTTTTGATGTCATATTCTTCTCGAGAAGGAATATGCTCTCTGCCAAGCACGAGGAGCTGTACCTCGAGCATTTTACTCGTTTATTCCACGTTTGAATCCTCGAGGGAGAATAGGCAGCTGCGGGGTTCGCTTTGGATAAAGTGCAGGAATGAAACTCAAAAAAATTAGACAAGTTTCAATTGAGTGCAGGGGACGATGACAGTGTGCATGGAGTCAGCGCCGTCGGAGCCTCGAGAATAGTGCACGAACATGAGATCCACGCAAAAGGTTCTACACTCCCGTTCTCCAGCTTCATTCGCACGAGTCCAAGTGGCCAGCGCCAGCGCCAAGCAGCCTGGGCTGCGGCCGGCATGGCAGCCGTATACTAAGACGTATAATTTGGAGCCCTGGGAGTCTTCGAGCTGAGCTTGGACTCTTTTCTGTACTGTGGCCTGTCGCTCAGAGGAGCTGTCAGAGAACCACGATGCCCCATCCCTGTTACTCTCTTGATTTGCGACTTGTCAAGCGAAGAGCGGACGGAAAAGTGAGCCAAATGTACAGAAAAAATAATTGGTACGATCTTTTTGGTCGGGGCTAGCAGTGGAGACTAGCACAATGAGGAATATATCCTGCAGTACCTGCAAGATCCGAATCAATCAGTACAGTAGCACCTGCTGGAAACAATGTGATCCTCATTCCGAGATGTTTTGGGGCCATGTAAAGTGTCGTCGAGACTTCCGTAGAGCAGCTTCCTCAGAAGACGGTGATTCAGAGTCGGAACCTACTCTATGACCTCGTCTTCTATCGTACAGATGCGAGACAGTGGTATCAGACAATATGATTTCTGTCTCTGGCTCCGAGTAGTAGGATTTGATCTGAGGTTCTTGGGCATTCCAACATGCTTTGCAATATAAATTTCATGGATTCAAGCTCAGAGTTGGATCTACAGACCGTCCAGATGGAGACCCCGGAAACTAGCAGGACATGTCGTGGACTTATTGGTGGTAGAGGAAAGACGGGGGAAAAGATTCCATAGAACACAGTAATTTTAGAAATGCTTGTCCTTCAGCTGTAGCAGATGTGATGGATGTAAGCTCATCAGAGAAGGATGTCGCTCAGATCTCGCTGTACATCTTCAACCACGCATATTTCAGGAAATCTATTGAGGAAATACACATCCAAGGCTGTAGGGTCAATAAAACTTCTTGTAACGGTCAGGCCCATGATTGTGGACGTGTCTATGATGCTAATGTTTCGTTTAAAGATAGAAAGCGATAAAGTCGTGATTTATTCTACCCATCCAGACACAAGTATGATTGGTTTCTCAAAGAGTTTCTGTCATAGTACAAACCCTTTGTGTACCTCGAGCAATGCACATAAAACTTTTCGTTCGTGATTCACTTTGTCCTGGATCGCTGGCTTAATTATTCGCTTCCCGAATGGACAGTGACTCACAGAGAGAGTAGATTGTGCACGAAAGCACCGAGATGCATGAGAGAAGTTTGGTGGTACCTATGCTGGCCCATACGTTTCCCATCAAGTGGGTATCAGATTCAGAGGTTCAGAGGTAGTTGGCCGCAGAACAAAAGCATCACCAGCAAGGAAGAGCGATGCAAAGAGCGTGTACGTCAAAAAGCGATGCCTCCATGGCGTTGCGTAATCTCGTAGCTGGGATTGAGATCTGCCGAACAGTTCTGCGCGGAGACGTTTTGTCCAAGCGGTAGTCACGTGGAGGCAGATTTTCCTGCACCGTATGACATCAACTGCAGACCCCCTGCGCATTAATTAACAGTATCTTGTGCCATAGGAAGACAAGTTTTATCATGCGCATTTGTCCTTATTTTTTATTGAATCAAGGAGACTTTTGTACATCCCTTCAAGAGTCATGTACAAGCCTTCAGATCATTTAGACTCGCTTGTTGTAGTACATAAAAGTGAACGAGCCTCTCAGAAGTGGTATACTGCTGCAATAGAAAAGTAATTGATGATACTCACAAGAACCATATTCCATCTAATATATACTCGACGTTCATGTGAATATGTATGAGAACTTATGACTCAGAGATCTTAGTCCAGTACTAGCTTATAATGTTTTTTGTGTGTTGTATCTGGATATTGTTAGCCTGAGAACAAGACAATTTGGACTCCTGCATATCCGCAACTTTTACCGGCCACTAGTTTAGATTCCCAGTCATTGTTTATGAAGCATACGATGATACGTTTAATGGACATGGCTATGCAAATTAATCATTTCTCTTGCACCTCCCTACTATCACCACATTGTAGGGTTTATTCATCACTAGGTTCACAATTACCAGACAAAGAGTATATATGGGGCATTGAGTATCATACCAAAAGATGGATGGAAGAAGAAAGAACTCGTCAAGTATGAGAACACCAAGTATGCCATCAGCCTAGGCACCAATAGCATCAAATTGAGAATAAGGCATTCTTTACTTTGTGGTAAACTAATCCAACAGCAAAAGAATCATCCAATGAATTATCAATTGAGAAGATTGATCTCGTGTTTGATCACTTATAGCTTTGCATAAAATAGTAACAAGTTGTCTAAACTAAGCTCCACATTGATCTAAAGAAAGTGATATATCATGCTTTTTGGTGTGATAGGTTGTCATTTAATTTATCACAAACATGTCTAAAAATTCAAAACACAAAAACACAGAGTTGATTTATCTACACAAGTCTGGTATTGTAATTTTGACTTTTTTTCAATTGCAGTTTATCATGTATATTTTGTAATTGAAAGTTGATTTTTATAATTATCATTCATAATATCAATAGTACTACTAAAAAATATTACACAGCTTGTTTATAGCAATTCGATATAATTTGATAGAATAGTAATATGAATAAAAGACAACAAGTAATATAAATTTGTTTTTCTATGTGTTTAGATTAGTTATAAATCTTAATGTTGATATGAAATTAATTTGAATATCCTAAAAAACAAAATAAATTATTCTTATTGTTATTTACATGGTGCTAATATGATATCACTTAGAAAATGTAAATACACATTAGCATAGAGTTACTTCCATTTGAGACATCAAAGTATATGTATTCACCAACTCTTTCAATCGCACACATTGTTGCGATATCAACGTCTCCATTTATTATAGCTCTTGAAAGACAATGTTTGCTTGATTCACAATTGCATCTATTGTATACTTGAATATCCATCAAGCATATGGAGTGGTACACTATAAATTTTTCTCCGGTAAGTATCGCTGGACCTTCAGACCGTGAGTCACAAGTCATGAAAGCACTTTGTTAATTGAAAACCAACGAACACTGCAAAACTTTGGACATTTAATTCTCATTGAGTTGATCAAGTTTTGTTGCCGTCTCAAGAAGTCAATCAATTTTGTCAACAACCCCATAAAATTCTCATCGAACGCGACCTCAAACACCGCCGGCATCATAAGATTGAGTTCATGCAAACCACACCACACTGATACAATACTCGGCAGCAACATCTGCTCAATCCTTGTAACAACTT